TATATATATATATATATATATATATATACACATACACATATACGTATATATATAGGTATATATATATATTTTTTTTTTTTCTTTTTTTTGAGGGGAAGCAGAATGGAGCCAAGAAGGTATTAGGGCAAAATAAATATTAATAAAAATAGAATGAGAATATCTTAATATGTAATCCATTTAAAGGAGGGAAACAGGAAAATAGTATTAGTGAGCACTCATTTCCTTCCAAACAAAGAATTTATATGAGTTATGTGATAACATACTTGATTTGGTAGTAAAGGAATGTCAAATCACTCTTCATTTGCTGAGTTTGTATTGTGATCTGTAACTTGAATGACTCTCACATGTTACCCATCGTGGTGCCTGTTTCTTTAGAAACCCATGGGGCCAAGTGATGCCATAGATGCTTTGTCATCTGACTTCACCTGCAGTTCTCCTACCGCTGGTGGAAAGAAACCTAAGGAAGAGGTACTGTTTTCCAAATAATTAGGGGGAGCTTGTTAGAAACTATATAAAACTTGAAAACAATTTCTTTTTAGTTCTGATTATTAAAGTTACATTTATTCTAACTATAAGTCTAATCTTTTGCATTTTGTCTTTCAGAAATCTACAGAAGAGGTTCTTAAAGCTCAGCCAGCCAGGGTAGTCAAAAGTGCTGCTTCACCCCAAGAGAAAAAAAGAAAGGTGGAGGAGGTATAAATAATTACTTCTTTGGAAATAAACATGGTCCACCCGATAGCACTTGCTTTCCTGAGCCTGATCTAGTTGATTCAGGATAATCCCAGTACAGCATGATGAGGGGCATCTTTTTTCCCTCGGGGGTCTGTATGGACTAGTAAATCCAATCAGGGTTCTATCCGTTATCTCCAGACAGGCCTTCTATGTTTCTGCAAATACTAATCATGATTTGAACACAGCCTTCTTGGTTGTGAAACAAGAGTATCTCATCATTACAACACACAGAAAGACAAGACACCAAAACAGTTGCACTCTTAGAACATAAATCTTCACCTTGATTATTTTTTTTTTTTAAGTTTATTTATTTATTTTTGAGAGAGACCGAGACAGTGCGAGTCAGGGAGGGATACAGAGAGGGAAAGAGAATCCCAAGCAGGCTCCACGTTGCCAGCACAGAGCCCGATGTAACCTGCAAAGCTGAGAGATCATAAACTGGGCCAAAACCTGAAACGCCCAGAGTCTAAGAGACCCCCAAAAACGAACCACCAGAGTCCAGAGTCAAAGCTAAGCAGGAAGGGTCATTTATTGCAGGTTCGAACCTGGACCTCTGTGCCCCCGTTGCCGGTGACGCCAAGAGGCCCTGAGAGAGGTTTTTACACCCCTTTTATAGACAGGTACAAACAAGTCATGGGGAAATCAGGAATTTTCCACAGTTACAGAGCTGCGATTGGTTGGTGTTTAAAGTTGGACACTTAACAGTATTCGATTGGTTCCTGCCTTTAGGTCAGACCACAACCGGGGGTACGGGTATCACAATGATTGATCAGGAATACACGGATGTGCCAAGCAACAATGATTGATCAGGAGTACACGGATGTGCCAAGTAACAATGGTTGATCAAGAATATACGGATGTGCCAGGCAATAATGATTGATCAGGAATACATGGGCGCGCCAAGCAATTGTACAGAAGCGGAGCAAGCTGGTTAAGCTTGGTTAGGTTTCAGTTTCCCGTAACTTAAGCTTTTAAGTTTCAATTTTCTCAGGCCTTTCAAACCAACATTCAGACACTTAACCAACTGAGCCATCCAGGTGCCCCATTCACCATGATTTTCTAATGGAGTTTGACCTGTAAATCACTAGTGGGATGTGGTTGTAGCTGCTTCTGTACCTTCTATTAACCATAATCAATTGTCCCCAATCCTGAACGGTGGTCCTGCAGCTCATCTTCTGGTTGAGAAGACATTCTCCATCTGCAGATAGTTCAGATAATGCAAGGAGCGGTTTGTGTCGGGTCTGCTCTGCCTCTCCCTTCCTGGAGGGGACAGTTTATTTTTATCTGGCTGGCTGGGGAACAGTGAGAGCCACACCCTGAGAGTGGGAGTCCCCACAGCCATCAGCCATCAGCCGTTGTACATTCAGACATGAAGCCTGTGGGGCCACTTCAAGCTCCCCAGCTTCTTGGACTTTGCTAGTTTGCTAAGACCAGGGTTGTCAGAAATTATTTCTAAAGACACATTAAAAAAAAAACAACAACAACAGAAAAGTGAAAGTTTACTTCTTCAAGCTTTTATTTTGATACGAGTGTTGTGTAATAATTATAGCTTGAGAAATAAGGGGTGAAGTGTGCCCCCGAGGGTATAAACAGCATAAGACACTGTGGAAGTGTCTTAGCCCCAATTTTCATTCACTGGTAAGTTCTTTTTTTTTTTTTCCTTTCTCTTTTCTGCTAGGTTTCCAATAAAATTGCCTTCCTAAAGTCCTTCTCTAATCTGCAACTCATTTTAGAATTTTAAAATTGGGATTTCACAAAGAAGTGGATAGGTTGTTCAGGCTGAAGAGATGTTCCCTTTTTTAATGTACAGATTTTTTCCTTTTTTAGCAGGACACAATGAGTGATCAAGCACTGGAGGCTCTTTCTGCTTCGCTGGGCACTCGGAAGCCAGAACCTGAGCTCGACCTCAGCTCCATTAAAGAAGTTGATGAGGTACTGACCTTGGATTCATATACAAAGCATGTTGTTCGGCGGGTTATGAAACTAAATGTTCTTACACAACTTTTCTTTTTTGGAGATTAAAAATTAACTACTCTTCATTCTGCCTTACTTTCAGAGTCTAGTTAACTTAGATTTTCATTCTTGCATAGTTAGCAACCAAGAAGGATAGTTGAGTATTGTCTTTTAAACCATCTAGAGTTTTAATATGTAAAGTGAATGCTAATCTCTTCTGCCAATGCTTAAATGACACCTGACTAACAAGATAACCTGGAGGCAATGGCTTGGCGAGAGGTTTGTCTGCTCTTGTGGACATTGGAAATTTGTGTTTTCAAAAGGATTCCAGGTGCTTCTTTTTATAAGCAGAGAGGGGGAATGTGGTAGATGGGGTGGGAATATCCTTCTTTTTATAACTATGGAGAAAAATGTTGAAAATCTTGTCTCAAATTAGAATAATATCAAGCAAGGATTAACTCTGTAACTGCAGTTCCTGCATGCCTACTACACTTCAACATCTTAGCAAGCCTTCTGAGCCATAACAAGCTTATATTTGGTGGAGGAGAGTTTTACCATGACATTACAGTTTTTAAAGAATTTTTCAGCTGAGTTATCTGGGATAAAAGAGGGAGTTGGCCTGTGGGCATTGTTGACAAGGCAGTGTAGTTGGGGGACATGGAAATACAGCCTGGGCACCCTCAGAAGCATCAGCCTATCAGCTCAGGGAGGGGAGCTGGCATGTGCCTGTCACTGTCATAATGCCGCTGCCTCCGCTGTCACTTCCTGTTCTGAATCACTGAGGAAAGTGAGTCTCACAGGCTCCTGGCCTGAGTCTGGGATTGCTGTGGTCCAAAATGGGCCAGTTTCTATCTTCAGCTTTCTTTGAGGGCTTACCAGGCGCAGTGTGGCATGACAAGCTTTGTGAAGGCAAACACAGGGGAGTGGGGGAAGCAGTCCTCGTCCTCCAAGACCAAGTAATGTATTGAGAAGAAAGGAAATTGTCATAAAGACAGTGTGAGGCACACGTTATTTAAAGCAGCCACATAGACAAATGTCTGAGGGAGAGGATGGTCCTGGCAAGACCCTGCAGGTGTGTGTGTCTTGGTGGGGGAGCAGACCAAGTTGAGTTACAGTCCCACCACCAGACAGCTGCAGGGCAGGGGACCAACTGCACTTTATTTCAGACTTTTTACAGAGAATGGTGTGATTTAATAAGACAGTAATTCGGGGAGGAAACGTATAAACATAAATCTCAGGGCAAAGTGTCTTAGGGTGACTAAAATCAGGTCAGTAGTTGTAAAAAGTGTTGCATAAAAATAAGTTCGTAAGCAGTTGGGGTAACTAGTTTTGGGATACATGTATAAATGTATTTATGTTTCCTCTAGAAAACCTCCACAGCAGTGAACTTCTAAAATTCTAACTAAAACTAAAAGGACTGTTCTTTCTATTCTTTCTATTAGTTTCTACTTTATCTTCCGCTATTTTCCACTAGTTTTCCTTTTATTTATTTATTTACTTACTTACATCCAAGTAGTTTTCTTTTTAATTATATTCAAAGTATAAATATTTCCTAAGATTTTCCAATCCTCTGGATTCTTAAGCTGAATTTTAGTGCCTAATGGTGAATTTATTACTTTCTGGATACTCTGATGTTTTGATAAGCCTTATGAAGGTTAATATTCTATAGGAGTCCCAAACCACTTCAGTTTATTCCATACTAGAGAGCTCTCTATGGAGAAATTGCATCATTCTTCAGAGAAGACATCCATGCCTACTTATTCTTATAATGTATCATGACATAAGTATTCTACAATGATACCTCATTAATCCTCCCCATTTCTGTGTGTAGTGACCTGGTCTGGTGCTATTTCAGTTGAGTAGACATTTGTCTTCAGTGCCTACAGTGCAGGCATTTAAAGAATATAAAGATCAGGGGTGCCTGGGTGGCTCAGCCAGTTAAACAACTGACTCTTGATTTCAGCTCAGGTCATGATCTCACGGTTTGTGGGGTGAAGCCCTCCATTGGGCTCCACACTGTCACTGCTTGGGATTCTTTCTCTCTGCACCTTTCCTGCTCAAACTCTCAAACTCCCTCTCTTTCTCTCAAAATAAGTAAATAAACTAAAAAAAAATAAAAAGAATGTAAAGATCAAACAGGAATAGAAAAGATTTAACGGTGCACATGATTCTCACTGTCCATAAGCCTGGAGAGGACAGTCTTCTACAGGTGACTTCTGACTTTCACGAAGGCTGTTTTATAGGTAGAAACCTCACGAATTTCTGAATGGGGGAGTGCCACTACGTAATAGGACTTCCTCCACGTGTTGCAGTAGAATATAACTGGAAATATTTTTAAAAAAAAAACCACAACTTTAATCCCTTAATGATAATTGTTAATTTACAGGACAATAAAACTGTAATTCTAAAGCCTAGAAGAGTGCTTGGCTCATTAAAAGTGCTTAATATTTTTAAAATCAATCATTCATTCAATGGAGAACTACTATTTTAGGTTGAAATACAGATGGAGCAGTAGGTTGAGCTGGAATTTGCTAAGTGATATTCCTCTTTGTGCCCAGGAGCTCCTTGTTTTGTGATCTAAATCCATGCGTTGGTACAGGTGCCAATTATTACATATCATGGAACTTCCCATAAGTCACCAGTAGTTTAAAATGCAAATGCTATATCCTAGAAGCCAGTGATCTCCTATAGAACTGCACTTTTATCTCGAATGCAGTTGGTTATTCATGGTTCAGTAATCCAATAAAGTCCTAGTTCTTAGTGAAGGGAGTACCTTTTTTATTGCAGCAATCTACAATAGCCAAATTATGGAAGCATCCCAAGTGTTCATCAGTAGATGAATGGATAAGGATGTGGTATATACATACAATGAAATACTATTCAGCCATAAAAAAGAATGAAATCTTGTCAGTTGCAATAACATAGATGGAGCTAGAAAATATAAACCTAAACGATAGAAGTCCAGTCAGAGAAAGACAAACACCATATGATTTCACTCATATGTGGACTATAACAAAACAAACAAGCAAACAAACAAAAAAAGAGGTAGAAAGAGACACAAACCAAGAAACAGACTTTTAACTCTAGAGAAGAAACTGATGGTTACCAGAGAGGAGGTGGATGGGGTGTTGGATGAGATAGGTAAAGGGGATTAAGAGTACATTTACCATGATGAGCACTGAGTAACATACAGAATTGTTAAATCACTATAGTGTATGCCTGAAACTTACGTAACCTGGTATGTTAACGATACTGAAATTAAAAAAAAAAAAATTAAAAAAGAGTCCTTTTAAAAGAGGTAAAACCAATTATCCATGGATCAGCCAAGATTTGTGATGAGCTGCTTCTCCCATTTCTGAACTGTATTTAACCATGGGAACTGGTTGGTTTTTTCCCCCCTAGATAACTGAGTAAGAGATGAAGGCTATTGAAATAATTACAACTAACTTATGCACTGTGCTTAATGGTCTCGATATTTTATTTCCTTTTCTCTAGTGATCCTTACAAGTCAGTGGACTAGGTAAAAATTATTGGTAGCCCCATTTTACTGCTTAAGAAAGACTAAGTGGCTCCCCAAGGTGATAGAGCAGCTGAGAGCAGGGCGGGGACACCTCTCCAGGATTCCTCGCCCTGTTGTTTTTTTTCTGTCTTCCTCACAGCCAACCAGTTACCATGGTCTTGTGCTCTGTAGTTTACAAAGCACAGACACACACTTGAATCTGATATGGTTTTCTCTACAACACTTATGAAGTACATAAAGTGATATCCTCTTGTTTTACCTACATTACCCACATGTTTTGTGTTTTATTTCCCTCTCCACTTTAATCAGGCAAAAGCTAAAGAAGAGAAACTAAAAAAGTGTGGTGAAGATGATGAAACTGTGCCTTCGGAGTATAGATTAAAGCCAACCACGGTATGCTGTTAGCCATGACACCTAACAGAATATGCTCTTCTTCATATCATGTTCTGTTGGGACTGTTCCCATGATGCTCAAGAACATGACTATCCCAGTTCTTATACTAACTGAACCCCCTGAACCCTTTCTTTCCTGTTCTTTAAAGGTAGTTGATTGTTTCCTAAGTAGTAACCGTGTGGTCATTAAAATTCCCACAAATCCAAGTGTTCCAGATATTAACAATGCGTGATATAGATCCTTAACCTTGAAGCATAAGAAACAATTTGGGAATAAATTTTTCTGTAACCGTTGTATGGATAAAAGCACCATAGATCTTTGAAGGGGTAGACATAAATGTGTAGCTATTTGCCAGTATCCTTAGGGTGGTTTGTTGGTGGTGGTTTGGGTTTAATGTGAGGATGGTGGACTTCTGTAATTATATCTGTAATTTATCTTTCAAAAATTAAACGTAAACACATGATAGAAAATGTTTTGATTCTTCTATGTGCTTCTATATGGAAACTGTCCTTATAGGTGCTAATACAGAAAGTTCCTCAGTTTAGAAATATTCTAAATTGTGAAACGTCATCTCCAAAAAACAAAAAAAGGATTACAGGAATGAAATCTACCTCTTCACCCTGGATTGGAGAACAGAGACTTTTTAAGTTTATTTTAGAGCTTAGCTGTTTATTCTGATACTTGATTTAAAAAATACTGAAAATTTATTCACTCAAATATAAGAAATTCACTCAAAAACAGATCATTAAAATATAAGGGGGAAAAAAATCTCCTCCTTTCCTGGAATTCCCTAGAAGAAACTTAACGAGCCATGAAAAGAAAATGTTCTATTTAACTTTCAATGAATTTTCAATTTTGTTTACAGGATAAAGATGGAAAACCACTTTTGCCAGAGCCTGAAGAAAAATCCAAGGTTAGGAAATGATCTTTCTGATAAAGAGCAAAAGAACTGTAAAGTATAAATTGAAGATCATTTTGACAGGATTTCTCTGTGGAGACTTTGAATGCCAACCTAGTTGTAAAGAGAGGGGAACTTGTGGTAGCAACACTTGGCTCATACCTCTGACTCCTTTTCATATCTTTTATGATTATTTTCTTCATGAATTATTACTAGAATATTGGGAGTTTGTAGGTGGCATTCATTGCACATTAGGAGCTGATGTCAAGAATGCCTCAAATTATATTGTTGGCACTTCAGAATTTGATTATAATCATGACATCAGATATTTTAATGATTCTACACTGCCTTAACTTGGTCTAAAGCAGTCAGGTCTTCACTGAATGAAGGTGGTGCTGTGATTTTTCCCATTTTACATGCGATGAAACAGAGGCAGAGACATGTAAATAGCCCAAGATCTTACAGCTAAAAACTAGCAAGACCAGGACTCAAAACTCAGACTACCAACAGAGGCACAGCTTCTAGATGACATGCCGTTCTGTTGTAGATGACTGGTATTGCTCAAAATTTCCACATGCTCCAAATGAATAATACCATTTCATCTGAAGGAACTAGGGATGGGAGAACTTTGTTGCCAAAATCCCTCAGAGTCTTAGGGAAGGAGTATATGATCTGTGTTTCCTGAGCTATTCAGAAGGCACTCATTAGGAAATAGTGAAAAACAGTCACATACGAAAAAACTATACAGATCTTCATTAGAAAGAAAAGGTGGTTTTATGTGAACAGAATTCTTCTGAAACTGAATTAACAGGAAAGTTTTGGACTAAATCATGAACATTTTTGTGGTACCCCGGTGTTTAGTATTCCTTACTTGTTGCATGACATTTATCTTACATTGATAAATTTTAAAAATACCCCAAACATTAAATGTTGGATTTAGATCCTAAAATATGGCTTAATACCTGTTAACAGGAAATTCTCTATGTAAAACTTTCTTGTAACCAAAAAGAGTCACTTTGTAATATAGTGTTTTTCTTATATTCCAGGCCCTGAGTGAATCAGAACTCATTGATGAACTTTCAGAAGATTTTGACCCGCCCAAAAGTAAAGGAAAACGATCTAAGACAACCAAAAAAACAGAAGTATGTTTCTAAAAATAGAAGTCTCTATTTTGTGGGCTTTTAAAGATATTTTTCTATAATCTTAAAAATCTGAGGCCCAACTATTTTAGCATGATGTAGTTGATGGAGACCCATTATGCCATCTTTTTTTACATGCAGTTTTGATCTTGACTTTTTCTAGATGGGCTTTCTTTTCCCACACTGGCCCAGATGTTATTGTAATTTAAGTCCTATAATCATTCCTTCACATCCATGCTTTCCTTTCTGTTCCTCCTACTGTAACCTAAAGTTGTCATCACCACTCACCTTATGGTGGCAGTGGCCTCTGTCTTCAGTCTTACTGCCGTCCTTCCCACATGTCCGCCAGAGTTACTGTTTCTCAAGCGTGGTAGTAGTCACATCATTCCCGTGCTCCAACCCTCAGGAGCTCCCTGTTCCCCACAAAATAAAGTCCCTGCTAACGTGTTCTGGCCCTGGCTTCCTTCCCTACCAAGGTGTGTCCTCCCATTACTAAACCATGACAATAAGGGCTTGAGTGTATGTGTCCTTGGCTTTTCCCATGTGGTCCTGCCATGTAGAATAAACTTCCTTCCTAATTCGACATCATCTAAAATGTTAGCCAGGCCTTTAAAGTTTTGCTAAAGTATGGCCTTTGTCTCCTGCTTTTCCCTCCCCAAATCTTACCACCCTTCCAAACCTACCTAAGCAGAATACAATATGTCAGGGGCTCTATTGTTCTTTGTATATCTATTAAGATCTTTATTGCAAGGAAGCTTTTAGCTGTCTTCATCTCCACCTCTGATGTGTGTACATAGTTTTCAGTAAATAGTAAGTTCCTTGAAGGAAGAGATAGTGCCCTGCTAATGACCATCTACTGAGCACCTTACATGTAGGATAACTTTTCGTAAATGTCTGGATTAAAACCAGTTTGTTTGAAATTTTACTCTTGTGATAAGATAGCACAGTGATCCTCAGATTTTAGTACCAGGATTGCCTGAGGGTTTGTTAAAACAGATTGCTGGGCTCCACCTCCAGAATTTCTATAGTATTTGGGGTGGAGCCCTAAGAATTTGCATTTGTAACAAATGGTAAGGCTGGTAAGGCTGATGCTGCTGGTCCAGGGACCATACTTTGGGAACCTCTGGGATAGTATTACTACCTTGCATTTGTAAACATACCCATTTACAATTGATACGATAATATTAAATATATAAAAATGATGGATTTATATTAAAACATTACATTCTATAATTGGTGTATCATTGTTATATATTTTCTGAAAATAATATAAATAATAATAGTTGCTGATATTATTGAGCTGTGTTCCTAGGTAGTATGCAGAGCACTGGACATGTTTTATTTTACTGAAAGCCTCATGTTGACCCTTGAGATGTAGGTACTGTCATTGTTCTCATTTTCCAGATGTGAAACTGAGTCTCAGAGTTTAAGTAACCTACCTAAGGTAAGAGGTAAAACCAAGTTGAAATCATGGTAGAAGAGTTTGAACCTGCGATTTATTCACTATTTAGCAATCCTTAGGCATTTGAGAAAGTCATGCTCACAGCATATAATATAGCAGAGTGTGTCGTTGGTCCCTTATTGTTCAGTCTTACCAACTAGATATTTCTAAAAACTCTTCCTTGTACTTGCCTCTCTCCGCAGGCATCTCAGGCTGCTGCCTTGACTCCTGTGAGTGAGGCTGTGCCTCGAGCTTCCATGTGTACTATACTGTCCACACCGACCAAGCCAGCTCCTTTGGTGAGTGTTAGTGTTCCCTTGGACATTGAGCAGTGTCCTGGGAAGGTAGTTCTTTTTCCTGTGCACTTGCCACTGTGTGTTGCCAACGCATCACTTTATTCTGATAAGATAAAAAGAAAATCTTTTAGAGCTATGGGGTCTACTGTTCTTTTGGCTTCAGGGTATCCTCCAAATTTAAGCTAGATTTAAGTTTTTCATTAAACTTCTACAGGCTGTGTTGTTGTTTTTTTTTTTTTTTTTTTTTTTTTTTTTTTTTTTTCACCTTCTGAAATTCTTACTGGTTCTTCAGCTGTAGTGGATAATCTTGCTCTTTCACTTTCCCATATCTTTTGAGCCTATTGGGAGTTCCACAGATAGCCTGATGGTACCTTTTGTTGGCTGTCCTAAAGGAATAATCTACACCAATATCATCATGACTTCCCCCCACTCCCAACTGAAGGAAGGTTAACTCAGTTCGTTTCCCTTTTCTTCTTAGCTCTCTCTCTCTAACTTTTGTATGAAGTATGGTAATTAAGTAGTTGAATCTTTTTGAGTTCAGTGGGCTTTGTTTCTGTTAGCAGGTAGAATCTGACTCAGAGTAACAGCTGATGGGACTGTGCTTTATTACTACAGACCTAGTGAATAGCTAAGTTGTTCTGGATGCTTTGCAATATCTTATTAAAGTTTCACAAGGACATTATGAACCCTGTTCTGATCATCTCTCTATTATAGATGAGGGAAATGAAGCTTTGAGTTGACCTTGAGCAATCCATTTAACTTTTCAGAGCCTGGGTGAGATAAGTGATAAGGCTTCTGCTCTTAGCCACTTTAGCATCTAGCATGGATAGATGGCCAGATCTCAAGCTTTACAGTAGAATTTGATCATTCTCATATGGAAAAAGGGCAGGGGGAACATGGGCGAAGGGACCCGCCCCCAGGAGGAATTAGGAAATACTCACAGAGGGAAGGCAAGATCACACCGGGAAGTGGGAACAGCACTGTTTTCCTGGGGAGAACAGTGAACCAAGGACAGGCCAGCCCAGAGGACTTGGTGTGCTTGGGTTTAGTGCATTTAGTTGTTTGAAAAAAGAGGGTGGAGAAGTTGTAGGACGTGTGTCCTGGGTGCCCTGATATGGCTGCTTCCTGCCAGGGACATTTTTGGTGCCAAGTGAAAATCCCCTCAAAGTCCAGGGTCTCCCTCCTGCCTTACACAGGACTCAACCTCTTTTTGAGGTCTCTGGGTACACTCTAGAACTTTCACATTGTGGGAATTAAGCCATAGGCACGGTGATAAAGAATTGGAGAAGAGGAGAGTATGTGGGGCAAGACAGTGAAGGAAGGAAGAACAGAGGCAGTGAGTGGAATCAAAAAGACAATAGCCAACATTCCAGAGAAGAACTCTGTGACCTAAACATGTATGTATCCTCTGCCTCTTGTGCTCCAGGTGATTGCCAGGGCCTTTGAGGGTTCGTTCCTTTCCAACTTTACCCTGACTATAGCGAGTCGAGCACTGGATGTTTAGTGCACAGAAAAGGGCTCTGTGTTTCCCATTCTCTGATGATCTTTTCTGCGCTTCTGTTCTGTCAGCTCCGCTGACCATGGTTGCTGAGATTACCATCACTGAAGTTAGTTGGCATTTCTGTAATTGGGATACCCGTGAGAGCCACAAGAATAGCTGTGGAGTGTGACAAAGGTCAGAGGGCCCAAGAAGGGCTTGAAGATTAGTGAGCAAAAGAAAACCAAGCAGAAAAAGGAGCCTAATATGTGCCCTGCACAGTTCTTGTTCATATAAAGCTTGTTAAGGACATCCAGAAACCTGAATACTAGTTGTGAATTTGACAACATAAAACACTACAGAAATAGAAGTTGCAGGCCCTAGTCCTATTTCCTGATTCCTTTGCTCTTAAAAATGCTGTGTATCCTAGCTTTGCTCTGTTTGGTTTAATTCTTAAACCAAGGGAAACAGGCTTAACAGGAAGTAGTAGTTTCCATAGATTCTACAGCAGAGAGTAGGAGAAAACAAAAGTGAAGTATGAGGACATGTCTTAGATCAGCTAGCAATTCTGATTGCTTGGTTAAGACTTTGGTCACTGCAACTCTTGCACTTTAGATAGAATCCCAAACAAATTAGATATACATCAGGGGGTTTTGCAGCTCCTGGGAATAAAATCTATGCAGTGTCCAACCACCAGATGGTGATAAATCACCTTCCACTCAGGTTCCATTTCCTCATTGATATTTTTGCAGTGCAACTTAGCAGAAAAACTTTTCTTACTTACATTGTTGGTTAAGCCATATAAAACAGAAAGACATTTTTACTCTAATATTCAGATATGTATTCTATGTGAGGTCATAGAATTTTATAAGAATAAACTTTGAGACTTTTTAATTCAGAAGCTTTCACACTTTAACCAAGAACAGCAATAAGAAATTCATTCATATTTCAACCCAGTATCTATATAATAGAAAAAAACAGCTTAATTAGAAGTAATTATTCTTGTTATGTATGATGCATTCTATTTTCTATTCTTTCATTAAAAAAAAAGTCCTGGGGCACCTGGGTTGTTTAGTTGTTAAGCATCTGACTCTTGATTTCAGCTAAGGTCATGATCTCACGGTTTCGTGGGTTCAAGACCCATGTCGGGCTCCTTTACACTGATGGTATAGATGCTGCTTGGGATTCTCTGTCTCCTTCTCTCTCTGCCTCTCCCCCGCCCACACTGTCTCTGTCTCTTTCAATATAAATAAACTTTAAAAATTAAGAAAAAAAAAAGTCCTGCCCCTGAACTGTTGATTTTATGAACCACTAATGTGTGGATCTTGACCTGTGATTTGGAAAAAGTCAAATCGAGTCCTATCTTTTAGCCCAAACATAGTTTCTCCTTTATTTTCCCTTTATATCATTCATGTTTTCTTCACTCAGTTTCATTTTAATAACCAGCATGGCTAGAGCTCACTGTATCACAAGGGAGCACATTTCCTTTTGAACACTGGGACCCCAGGTAGACAGTTCCCATCGTGCCACTCAGGTTAGCCAGCCACAGTCACCTGAATCAGCATGAATCCACTTTGGCCAGTAGAAGCCTGGTAAAGAACACAAACTTCTGTATCTTGGCCGAGGCTCTGCCCGAGCCACCACCTCTGGGATGGGCCAGGCTTATATCACAGAGCTTTGAGAGGAATGTCCTCTGATAGGCCTGAAAATCTTTCCTGCACCATCTCTAGAATGATTACCGTACAGGTCACTTCTTTGCTGGCTTTCCACTTGTTTGAGGTATATTCATCCCATTGTCTTCCTTATTTCCAAACCAAGAACTGGGTTAGATTATGTGAGTTTCTCCGTGTCAATATATGTTGTACCCACTTAATATAAGAAATTTGGTCTAGTTTTTAACATTTTAGGTTTTTCAAACATATATTCTAAAGATGTTTTTTAAGTGTACTTAATTTGAGAGAGAGCAAGCACGGGGGAGGGGCAGAAAGAAAGGAGGAGAGAGAGAATCCCAAGCAGGTTCCTCGCCGTCAGCGCAAAGCCTGACGAGGGGCTCGAGCTCACAAACTGTGAGATCATGACCTGAGCTGAAATCACCAGTTGGAGCTTAACCGACGGAGCTACCCAGGCGTCCCTAAACATAGATTCCAATTCAGTTGGTAATTCAAATTACTAAAAGATGACTGTGCTTCTTATCCAAGCCTGAAATAAGGATATGCCCTTCTGAATTGTTTGTTGTAGTCTTTTTTAAAAGGAGTGATTAACTGCCTTCTTAGTATATCCACAAATATGCTTTTAGAAAGGCATGGTGCCAGATGATGCTGTAGAAGCCTTGGCTGGTAGCCTGGGGAAAAAGGAAGCAGATCCAGAAGATGGAAAGCCTGTGGAAGATAAAGTCAAGGTAATAGCAGCTCAGTCACTTCCTGAAAGTAGCTGTGATTGATGTTCCTCACTCCCCAAGCAAGTTAGTCATCTTTTTTTTTTTTTTTTTAATTTCCTACAACACATGACGAGCTGGCTTTATCTATTTATGGAGCATATCCTGTTTGACAATCTAAACCTGAGTAAAGCATCAGTGTTTTGCTACAGCAGTGGATGGAGAACATGCACATAATCTCTGAATCTCACCTTGGCCATGTGCATTTCCACTGCCGAGGAGTCCTGAGAGAAGAGGCAGCTGTCCACCCTCCTTTTCGTTGCTTTTTAGCCCAGCCGGCATAGTGGTGCTGTCTGAGCCGGCTCAAGTAGGGGAGGGTGTGAAAGATGTGTAGAGTTGCTGTAGGAACTCTACACATAAGGCCATACATATGTTCTAATCTAACACTGGAGTTATTTCCCTCAAATGTAGGCACTTAGACATCCACTTTGTGGGGATATATTAATAATGAGAATGGTATAATTTTTATTCAGGAGAAAGCCAAAGAAGAGGATCGTGAAAAACTTGGTGAAAAAGAAGAAACAATTCCTCCTGATTACAGATTAGAAGACATCAAGGTGAACAGTGTTTTTCTGTTTTATTTTAGTTACTACTGAATTTTATAAACATAAAGAAGGGACATGGAAACAGGCCCAGAATATAAAGATTTTGTTTTTAAGTGATAGTTTTTCCCTTAAAACTTAAGTGAAAAAAATCTAATGCCTAAGCTACCTAATTTTTTGCCATGTAATACCTGCTTTGTTACAATACCAGAAGCAAAGAAAAACTTAGAAAGCCTTTATATAACTAGGAAAAACCAAAATGAGGAATAACTATTTCCTGTGAAGAAAAATTTCCAACTCTTAGATACACATTGAAAAAGAAAGCCTGTTTAACATTGAGTAGAAGGATAGTTGTTCTGTTTCCTTTATTTTGAAAGTAGAGATTGTACACAGCTAGTGACACGGAGGGGAGTCATTGAAGTACAACCATTTGAACAGGGGCACACGTGGACAGTAGAACCAATGTCAGTCATCTTCATGAAATACCACTGCTCAAGAGAATATTCACCTAAATGTATATACATTTATATGCATTTTATACAGCTACATACATATGTAGCCTTGCGCCTATTTTTGTATATGTGGATTAATGGGATTTACCGTTCATTTATAAATTTTTCTTTACTAAAAGATGCTTTAATGATTCTGTCCTGTTTCTCAGAAGTGGCACTTAGAGTCATCTGAAACTTGGCATCGTCTGAGCCATAAGGATGAGCTTCCCGGGGCAGGAATTTTGTCTGTCCTACTTTCTGTGCTATTCCTAAGTGCTTACTGCAGGGTGTGGCACCGAATCAACGGATAATGTTTTGTTTGTTTGTCTTGTTTTTTTTTTTTATATAATTTATTGTCAAATTGGTTTCCATACAACACCTAGTGTTCATCCCAACAGGTGCCCTCATCAAATGCCCATCACCCACTTTCCCTCCCTCCCACCTCCCATCAACCCTCAGTTTGTCTTCAGTATTTAAGAGTTTCTTATGGTTTGCCTTCTTCCATGTCTGTAACTTTCACCCCCTTCCACTCCCCGCTGGTCTTCTGTTAAGTTTCTCAGGATCCACATATAAGTGAAAATATATGGTATCTGTCCTTCTCTGCCTGACTTATTTCACTTAGCATAACACTCTCCAGTTCCATCCACGTTGCTACAGATGGCCAGATTTCGTTCTTTCTCATTGCCAAGTAGTATTCCTCAATGGATAATGTTGAATATATTGGCTGTAAAGTTTAGCCAGCTTTTTTCAGGCAACATTTGCAAAGCCCATCCCCCACACACGTGAGGGGTGCATCCCTTTGCTCCCTTCGTGTCCTGTAAGTGCCCTGTCACAGAACCTTGTGCCACACTACTTCAACTATTTGCATGTTTCTCTGCTGCACTAGTTCATAGGCTTCTGAGGTCACAAGCCTTGCCTACTTCATTTTTTAGCTCCCACGCCTAGGGAATGCCTGAGCTGTTGGTTGGAATGAACTAATTAGAACATATTCTCTGATGAGAGAATGTTTTTCCTGAAACGATGAATCTAATTTATAATGTACAATGTCAGGTATGACCTGTAGACCCCTTACAGTGTTTAAAAGCGTTCATATTTGTGATAGATCCCACAGGATAAATCACGAGAAATGGTTTAATGCCATGGTTTTCTCTTCCGAATAGGATAAAGATGGAAAACCCCTCTTGCCAAAAGAGCCCAAGGAATCACTTCCAGTAAGCAAGCCACTTTTCTCTGAGTAGATCTTTCTCATCTGGCCCTGATTGTTAATTCTGGAACGGGATAGCTTTCTTTGTAATAAGTTGATTGACAGTAAATAGTGACATCATTTGAATAATGAGTAAACAGTTGAGGTGGTGTTTGTTGATATATTTTTTGGTTCTTGCAGCCCGTGACTGACGACTTCCTTCTTGATGCTTTGTCTAAGGACTTTGCTGGTTCCCCAAACTCTTCATCTCTTGTAAGTCTGAAACTCCTGATTTTATTTCCTTGCTCTTAGGGTGGCAGAAAGAAATGGAAACTAGTGACTTAGAATCTGACTTTGGAGGTGAGGAAATAATCATAAAATTAAAGGCTTTCAAGCCATTGTAGCCATTAGAAATGTGTTGTGTCCTCAAAGTGTACCAGCACAGTGGACATTGGCAACATTGTAACTAATTGAACCAATGAGCACATACTCTATCAAGTATACCTATGAAAAGAGAATTTAAAATTTGAGTTTATCCAAAGGTATGTCTCAAATAACTTTACTTGTTAATATTTTTACAATTTATCATTTTCCATAATTACCTCATAGGAAAACTTAGCTCTGGGTAGAATAGATAATTCCTCAAAGAGAATTCTATTACTAGAAATTTTAGGAAATGTTGGGTAATGGTAAGCAGGTTTCTCTACTACAGGATTTTTATGGCTTATTTATATGCAAATGTAAGTCTGTTGGAGTGCCCACACTTAAATAACTCCAGACCTTTTTTGTGTGTGTGGGATTGGGGTTATCTGTTTACAAGGTTCTTATGTGGACAGTGTCACGGAACATACATTAGTTGAGAAGCAGAATGAGTAGTAACTAGAAGAAATAATGATTCGTTGGAGTTGCTCAAAGTTTTTGGACTCTGTGAAGCAATAAGCCCGTCAAAGAAGGTATTACTAACCAGTTAGTAATAGAGTCCTCGTAATACCCCTATGAAAACACCATGCCCACGCAGTTGAGTCACCCCATTCCATGACCTTCCACTCTTCCTCCTCCATACAAACAGCTTATATTACAGAGAGGCTCTTGAGTCCTAATTTAGGGAAGAATATAAAGTGAGCGGTATCCTCAGAATATGGAATCTTATCATTACAGTGATGCAAAACATAAGAACAAATTAGAGGGATCCAATGCCTTAATTCCCTTCCTTATACCATCTGTATTATTATTATTATAGGGTTTTTTTCTTTTAGAAATTCAAAGAAAATGTAACAGTGACTTTATATCCTTTATATCCCCACCCAAGAAGATGCATAGCAGTGACATGACTAGAGATAAACATTTTTTATGTTTATTTTTTTTTTGAGAGAGAGAGAGAGGGAGACACAGAATCTAAAGTAGGCTCCAGGCTCTAAGCTTTTAGCACCGAGCCCAACTTGGGGCTCGAACCCACAAACTGCAAGATCATTACCAGAGCCAAACTCGGATGCTTAGCCGACTGAGCCATCAGGTGCCCCAAAACAACCATTTTTTAAAAAAAATTCTAGCTTAGAAAATTAATCTCGCAAAGGGAAAAATTGTTAGTGTCTGTAGTTAATAAAGTAGAAATAACCAATTACAGTAAGTCAAATGGCCAAAGTAGAAAATTATTTGGGGGAAAGTCCCAAAAACTTTGGAGGAAAAGTCATCATATTCTGACTCATAATTAATCTTCAAATATAAATGTGTGCCTGCTGTACATACCATGTTCTTTGATCACAATAAAGTAGAAATTCTACTTAAAAAGAGAATTTTAAAAACATTCCACTATCAGTGAGATCAAGGAGTAAATTCAGAATAGACTATTTGAAAAATCAAGGATAAGACATTTGCAAATGAAAATCTTTGATAAGCAGGGCACCTGGATAGCTCAATTTTTAAGCATCCGACTCTTGATTTTCTGCTCACGTCATGATCTCATGATTCGTGAGATCGAGTCCACCCACCCCCCATCAGGCTCTGTGCTGACAACAAGGAGCCTGCTTAAAATTCTCTCTCTCCCTCGCTCTGCCCTTCTCCCACTCTCATACACATAAGAGAATACAACATTTAAAATAAATATATTTAAAAAAATTCGATAAGCAACCAAACCAGTATTCATGAGATACATTTATTACCATAAATGTCTTAATAATAGAGGAAGAGAAATCTGACTAACCAAATGTTTATTGGATTTTAAATTTCAAATTTAAGCTATTATAAAACTATTATTATAAATAAGCTATTTTTTTACATTTAAATAAGATATTATAAACTAACCACCCAAAAGAAAGTAGCAAGCAGGTTAAGTAGGAGATGAAAATAGCAGCCTGATTACAAAGCTGTAATCATCAAGACATTATGGGACTAACACAAAAACAGACACATACATCAATGGAACAGAATAGACAACCCAGAAATGGACCCGCACAGGTATAGCCAACTGGTCTTTGACAAAGCAGGAAAGAGTATCCAATGGAAAAATGTCTCTTCAGCAAATGGTGCTGGGAAAACTGGACAGTGACATGCAGAAGAATGAAAGTGGACCACTTTCTTACACCACTCACAAAAATAAATTCCAAATGGATAAAAGACCTAAATGTGAGACAGGAAACCACCAAAATTCTACAGGAGAAAACAGACAGCAACCACTTTGACCTCAGCTGCAGCAGCTTCTTACTAGACATGTCTACAGAGGCAAGGAAAACAAAAGCAAAAATGAACTATTGGGATCTCATCAAGATAAAAAGCTTCTGCACAGCGAAGGAAACAATCAGCAAAACTAAAAGGCAACTGATGGAATGGGAGAAGATATTTGCAAATGACATATCAGATAAGGGTTAGTATGGAAAGTCTATAAAGAACTTATCAAACTTATCACCCCCAAAACAATCCAGTAAAGAAATGGGCAGAAGACATGAATAGACACTTTTCCAAAGAAAACATCCAGATGGCTAACAGACACATGAAAAGATACCCAACATCACTCATCAACAGAGAAATACAAATCAAAACCACAGTGAGATACCATTTCACACCTGTCAGAATGGCTAAAATTAACTCCAGAAACAACAGATGTTGGCAAGGATGTGGAGAAAGGGGAACCCTCTTGCACTGTTGGTGGGAATGCAAACTGGTGCAGCCGCTCTGGAAGACAGCATGGAGGTTCCTCAAAAAATTAAAAAAAGAATTACCCTACAATCCAGGAGTTCCACTACTAGGTATTTACTTAAAGGATACAAAAATGATGATTTGGAGGGGCACATGCACCCCAGTGTTTATAGCAAGACAATCAACAATAGCCAAATTATGGAATGAGCACAAATGTCCACTGACTAATGAATGGATAAAGAAGAGGTAGTGTATGTATTCAATGGAATATAACTCAGTCATCAGAAAGAATGAAATCTTGCTGTTTGCAACAACATGGATGGAACTAGAGTGTATTATGCTAAGCAAAATTAGAGAAAGACAAATCACATGATTTCACTCGTATGTGGAATTTAAGAAACAAAACAGATGAACATTGGGGAAGGGAAGGAAAAGTAAAATAAGATAAAAACAAAGAGGTAGGCAAACTATATGTGATTCTTAAACACAGAGAACAAACTGAGGGTTGTTGGAGGGGAGGTTGGGGGGGGGGATGGGCTAAATGGGTGATGGCATTAAGGAGGGCCATTGTTGGGATGAGCACATATGTAACTGATGAGTCACTGGGTTGTAGTCCTGAAACCAGTTAAGTGTATGTTAACTAACTTGAATTTAAATAAATAAATTTAAAATTAAAGAAAAAAAGAAAATAGCAGCCTGAGACTAAAATGGCTCATAGTTGCTTGATTTGAAATAACTAAAATTTTTTAAGATACCAACAAATGTAAAAGAGAAAAAAATCTTATTAAAATAGCATAAATCAATGTAAGAATCAAATTAATCATTTATAGCCAACAGTTGGTTTTTATGAATGACTAACATTTTATAAAACATTGGCAGAAATAAGAGAAAAGTTACCAGTAAAATTAAAATTTTAAATTTAAATGATCAAAAACCAATATGTACAGTAGTTTTTTACAACAAAATGTAAAACACAATTCATAGAATCTAAGCAAAAGAAAAACTGAAGACAATAGAACTGTTTTCAAACTTTGCTTCCAAGAGAAGTTTAAAATTGACTCTTAAGTGTTTAACAGCAGTTGGTCTCATGTGACATAACCATATCTTCAAAAATATGGCTTATATAGTTGCTTCTACAAATAATGATGGTCCTAATCTTAAAACTTGATCAATATAGCATTGTTAACTAAAGTCACTTAAAGCTGTAGATGTATAATGTTTAACAAAGATAATATACAATTATTAAAGGATTAATTATCAGTCAGAAATTAAATATTTATTTAATATTAGAATTTATATAGCATAGTAGTGTATCAAATAAGAATAATCAATTACATCCATACAGAAGATGTATTTCAAATGTCACCTTTCAAAAGTAGACAATCCCTTAATGTATTAAAGAGTATCTATTTAATTTCAAGAATCAAATATTTGGAGTTAAGCTAGAAGCATTTCCTTTAAAAACACAGTATAAAAAATTCTATTATCTTTTCTGCTTAATGTTGTATGAACAATCATTAACAACACATGAAAAAGAAATGACAAGTATTAAAAAGGAACATTTGTGTATTTGCAGATATTCCTAGTTGTAGAGAGCACATATGTAGTTAACATTGTGTATACTGTGTACATCAGTAACAGATTAGAAAATACGATTAAAATGAGATGTCAGACATGTAAAGAAAAGAGCAATACAAGAAATAAACAGAAAAGTTAGAATATGAAAAAATTAAAATATCTAAGACAGTCTGACTCAGTGTCTGAAAAGAGTCATGACAATTCTTTCTAGTCATCTTATAAGTTATTTTTTAAATTAAAATAGCAATAAGGTACTTTGTATAGCCCAGTAAAATTATTCTAAAATATGTTTGAAAAGCAAAGACATAAAAACATGAAAAAATACTGAAAACCATTTTTCAATATTTCTAGGAAAGATTAACCCAACTAAATGCAGGGATTGATTTACATGATAATGATCAATTCAATTCTGAATCAGAAAACAAAGCTGTAATTTAATGGGAAAAATCAAGAAATGAACATAAAAGATTTAGTATATTTTTAAAAGGAGAATGAATCATAATCTCAGAAAGATTCTGGAATAATATGCTATTTAACATTAAGAAAAAATAAAACAAACCTCACACCATATTAACAAGTATAAAGCAACATTTGTATATCATTATCCATCTCATATCAAAATTAAAAATATGTAACAAATATCTAATTGAGGCAAGGAAGGCCATGGAAAACAAGCATGCTTAATTCATTGCTTTTAGCTTTATGACTTTCTAGCAACTGTGGAGGGGGCAGTCTGGTGGAATGTAGGCAGCACCAGAAAAAGAACCACTGGTAGAACTCCTACAGAGTAATTAACAAAGAAGAAAGCTGAGAAATTGCAAACAACCTAAATGTACACCAAAGAACATGTAAATAAACCATGAAACTTTTAAGTCGTTATGAGATTTTTGAACATTTGGAATAATAAATAGGAATAGAAATCAGGAGATTGTGTAAACTGCAACTATGGAGGAGGAAATAGAATAAAAATTAAGATTACTTGTTACTTTGAGGAGCACCTGGGTGGCTCAGTGGGTTAAGCTTCCGACTCTTGATTTCTGGCTTAGGTCATGATCTCATTGTGGGCTCTGTGCTGGATGTGGAGCCTGCTTGAGATTCTGTCTCTTCCCCCCAAAAGATTATGTGTTACTTTGCATCCATTTGGATGAAGAGAATAAACAATAATAAAGTATTAAAAACTGTATTTAAGCAATGGCATTGCGGGCATAGTTTTGTGTAATATACTGTATGTAATAATTTTTTTTTCTTTTTAAAGAAATTTGAAGAAGCTAACCTTTCTGCTGCCATCTCTGAAGTGGTTTCCCAAACCCCAGCTCCAACCACATACTCTGCTGGCCCGCCCCCTCATGTGGTAAGCAACATAGAAATATATTTTTGCAGCAGCAACAACAAAATAAGGAAGAAAATAGGACCCTTGCCTTAGAGTAAATGAAAATAAACAAAATTGTTGAGAAGATAAAGCACTTTCTGTTTTAGAAGATGTGTAAGACTAGCCAGTTGGAGAGATGACAGTATATCTGAAATAATTAAATGAAAGAGTGTTTATGAAATATTTCACACACTTCCCTGGAACTTAATATTATTGCTACTTTATTAGAATTGAAAGAGCAGTAGTGTGCATTGCACATTTATTTGAATTATTAGATTTAAAAAAATCCATTAGCTTTCTTGATTATTTTCTCCTCCTTTAGATTTTTCCTGACACATGCTATAAATACTACCTATTATTTAACCTCAAGTTTATTCTATGGAATTGCTCAGTGTTCGAGCCGCTTCTCCCCAAAATTCAAGCATGTCATGGAAGAGCAGTTTTCCTCCCATTCATTCACACCAGTAAAACGTTGTCCTTTTCATGTTAGCAATACGAAAACCTCAGCATCAATATTGTTTTAATTATTTACATGTCCTGAGGCGAGGCTGTGGGACCAAAGCTTTCCCAGACTTCCTTGATTAATTTTCTGTGCAGTACCAAATTATACACTATCGAGGCGAGGAGACCGCAGCACATCAAAGAGATCGCCCTAAACCAGATCCCCATCTCCTTTGGTTGAGAACAAGTGCCTCATTTGCTAGATGGAGAGGAAGTAGCTTTAGTGAAGTCAGCTACGCTTACTTTCCTTTTGATGTAGCATCAAAGCTTACTTAGTGCTGTAGTCTTAGATTCTGAATGAATTTTCATCCCGTTGGGTCAGTCTCAGGATCATCTGAAAATATCCAGAGGCCCAAATGACAAAGCCCAGACTCAGTCGTGGGTAGCTCCTCCATTAAGAGCTATAATCCTGAGCTCCAACGAAACACTTAAAACCAGTAAAATGCTGTGTGTGTGTGTGTGTGTGTGTATGTGTGTGTGTGTTCACAATGATGAATGTGCCTGTGCACAGAAAGGAAGAATCATTATTAATTCAGGCTGCCAGTTACGCTTCAGCTCCTAATCCTGAGGTGAGGGGTTCTGCCTTGGGTGAGGCGATTGGTCAACATCTGCAATCCAAAGCCTGTATGCCTTTCGCAAGTATGTTTTAGAACACCTTTCCCATCACTTTTCCCATTGGAAAGTCTAATTTCAGTTCATGTTTTGCCTAAAGATATCACTCAGACTAGGTGTACATCTTTATCTTTACTTAAATGAATACAGGTGAATAATGAATTAAAAAAGCTACCGTAATTCATGTATTTTTTTTTCCTAGGGACATTAGACTGTCACCAGTTGTGTTGCATACACTGAACGCACCATAAGGCACATTTTCCAACAAATCAGACCGGGAACCCCCTATTTTTTTTTTTTTTTTTTTTTTTTTTTTTTGGAAAAGAAAGGCATCTGGGATTCAAGTGGAAGTGTGGAGAAGGAGAGATTAGGGAGAAGGAGCTCTACCCAAGGGCCACCTTCCACGACTCTACCCATCTCCTTGGTCAAACTCTCATGAGTTGATGGAGGTCTTATTGGCCGTGGCAGGCCCACATTCCAGTAGGTGACCTGATTTTGCTAGCCAGCGACTAATTCAGATTGACTTTTTAGCAGGGCGACAACAAGGAACTGGATGATGCCTTGGATCAACTTTCTGACAGTCTAGGACAAAGGCAGCCTGATCCAGATGAGAACAAACCAATAGAGGATAAGGTCAAGGTAAAAAAAATATGTATATACTAATAAGTGAAATTTAAAGTTTAAAGCATAGAATATCCTACACTGCACATAAAAGGAAAAACAAACAAAAAAAAAAATCTGGCATTTCAGTGAACAGTTGAATGACTTAAGTCTCATTTTTTCCTTCTCTATAGTCTGTTGTATTTATTTCCTCAGTGAGGACTATGCGAGTGCACAGGTTCAGGCACATGTCCTGTTAGCGAGACTACACTTAGTTATGATGGAGAAGTGCCGCGCTACTTTAATTTCATTCTCTTCCCACATTAACTTTTCTTAGTTTTATCTAGTAATAAGTATATATCAGGTGTATGGCATTTTTAGGATGACCTATTTGGTCCATGTAAGGGCAGAGGTCCCCTAATTGCCAGAGTTTTCCCTATCAGCCTCCTGAGCCACCATTAACACTGCATGCAAACCCCCAAATGAAGCGCTAAGCCAGGAGTAAGCACTGTGGAGAGGCATGTCAGCAAGGCACACACTGTTAGCCCCACCCACCTTCTAGAACAAGAGTAAATGCTTATTCCTGCCTAACAATGTACAGTACTAAATGACCCCTTCACCTTGAAACCTGGAAGTAACTAGCCACCCAAATCCATGTCCCAGAATGTCCCAGGGCATTTCAAAGGATCCTGAAGTCTTAATTCCACCAGTGTTACAGGAATATTGATGTGAACTTCACCTGTATTTGAAAAATGAAATGATAATGATGCAGAAAAATAAAGCCTGTTCTCTCCTGGTGGCTGGGGGGTGGTGGGGGGTGGGGAGTGAATGTCACTGAACCAGTTCCAGACATGCCCCAGTCAGGTGAGGATTCGGGGAGGGTTAAAGGTACCCCTGCTATGCCATTTGCTGCTTGTGCTGGCCCCTCAAGGTTTGCTCATGCATGTCCAAGTTGTAAGTATTTTACCTCTAAATATCAAGGTCCGAAGACTTGATCTTTTTTTTTAAAAAGTGAAATTCACATAAAGACAAAAGATAGTTTATACCATTGGGCTTTATCTCTTTTCATCGTTTCTAAGGATAAATATTTCATCATTTATTTTAAAATACAAGGTAGAAACTCACACAATCTCGGTGTGGATTAACCTAGAGAAGCACCTGAGTTTACTTTGTTTTCCATCAACTATTGTTGAAGTCTGTTGGAAGTCATCCGCTTTGTTGTTACTTGGAAAATAAAAATTCTGTTTTGCCTCAGTAAAGTACAGTAAACACTGAGTGCTACAAGTGTTGTGTAAGTGAAGGAGAAAATATTGTATCTATTCCATGTTTGCAGGAAAAAGCTAAAGCTGAACATAGAGACAAGCTGGGAGAAAGAGATGACACCATCCCCCCTGAATATAGACATCTCCTGGATAATGATGATGAGGTAAATGAAGGCAAATGTCTAGGTTGGATATATATCACAAAGCTTCTTAAATTCAGATATCAGTTGAAATGAATAGGAGGTGCACTTTAACAATAGCATAAAATTGTAACACGACTGAGTGCTTTTAATGTGTTTCTGATGAACAGGTTGTCTAGAATTCTGTTGAATATTCACCTGAACCAATACCATATGATGTTCACTGTGCTGGGTGCTGTGGTGTAGAGTTGAATAATGTTCAGTCACTCACCAGTGCTGAACAGTGATTCCAGGGCAGTACATAGATGAATTCTCTTTGCAAGAAAAGGCTATAAAAATGATAGTTGTGGGGTGCCTGGGTGGCTCAGTCGGTTGAGCGTCTGACTTCAGCTGGTACTGGACTGATTTAATAGGGCAGATAAATAAGGCCCTTCCATGACTTGGGGTCTTCCTCTACACTACCACCAGCACTATTCAGAGTAAGGACAGGCAACACTATATTCCCCACCACAAGTCCTATTTCTATATCTAGATATGCTCTATCAAGTTTTTGGGGTGCCTGGGTGGCTCAGGTCATGATCTCTTGGTCCATGGGTTCCAGCCCCATATCGGGCTCTGTGCTGACAGCTCAGAGCCTGGAGCCTGCTTCAGATTCTGTGTCTCCCTCTCCCTCTGCCCCTCCCCTGCTTACATTCAGTCTCTCTCTCAAAATAATAAATAGATATTTAAAAAAAAAAAATCAAAAAAGAAAAAAAAGAAGCCGTTGGTCTTCTGTTTCTAACATAAAGCCAGATTTTCTTAGGTCAGCTGGGCCTGTATCCTTCCCTTTTGGCTCCTCATTGCAAGTCAGTTATATGATGAAGAACCTTTCCAGGCCTGTTCAAAGAGAAACAAGGAAGCCCAGGTTACATCCTTCTCTTTCTATACTGATTCATTTGGTGGGTTTGAGGATGCCCTGGTTTGAAGAGTGTTAGCTTCAGTGTCTCTTATTACAGAAATCCATTCTCCTTGCTTGCATTCAGTATTCCCGAAAATAGCAATTCTGCATCGTGCTAGAAGCCTCCCTGCCTTGCTAATACTGCCTTACCCTGCTTGTATTCTGTGGGAAAGGTATTGTTTAAAACCCTTGCCTTTGTAGATGGGTAAAGTCCCTGCTGAGTTGTACTTGTAATCCTGGAAAAAAAAAATATATGCCATTGCAGCCCCTCAAATCATTCCAAAGTGTAATCTTTTTATAAATAAGAAAGAAAAACACAGGTTATTTTTAATAATATTCTAAGTAGCATTTTAACATATGATGGCAGAAAGTTCCTTAATAATTGTTTCCTTCCCTTCTCTTCCACAACCAGACTCTTTCTTGAGGTTTATCAGTTACTGCAAACCAATACTCTGTTGTATCTCAGATCACTAGACAATAGATTTTACAATTAGTGGCTGCATCTAAGTAAACTTTTACTAAGATCTATGTTTAACCAATAACCTGCCTTATTTTTAAGGGCAAACCCGTAAAGCCACCTACACAGCAACCCAAGGACTCAAAGGTAAATATCATAGCAGCATATTCCCATAAGGAAAGGTTTTTTTTTTCATTCTAGCTGAACTTTACATTTTAGAAATCTGAAATTTATTGAATGGCTACCCTGTGCTTGGAATGATGTGAAGACATACATGTATGAACGGGTGTGTGTGATTTCTCTTGGTTAGCCCTCACAGTTCCATGTTTCAGATAGAAAAATTGAGGCTCAGAATACTAAGCAAACATGTATAAAAGAGGAGAAAGTAAATGTGTAAGGATTTTCATGTTTTAATATCTCCTTTATTGTACATTAGTTTCTTAGGAAAAGAATGCCAGCAAGGTTTCCTTTTTCTTTTAATATTTTTAGTGATGTGGAAAAATGTTCCTTATGGTATTTTTGCCTTGTGCTCCTTCACTGATGGTTATTTCTGTTAATATCTCAGAAATCTGCAGCTGACAAAGACCCCATTGATGCCCTCTCAGGTGATTTTGACAGCTGTCCTACACCCACAGAAACCTCAGAGAAGACAGCAGAGAAGGTACTATGCTACTTTAATATGGCCTTTCTTTGTGTGAATACATAGAGTTGTAGGCTACATAATGAATTCAATGATGCCATAGCATCAATGGCAATGATGCCATCTTTTTCCATATGTATCTGTTTAATATAGTAGTAATTCAAGTGCATATGTAAAACATTCTCAATATTATTTCGTAAATGTTTTCTATGTTGCTGTATAATCTCTATAGCCACCATGTTTGATTTCCACACTAATGAGTTTGACACTAATGCTTTGTCTGTGTTCGTTTATTTATTTATTTTTGTTTGTGTTCATTTAAAATGAGAGCAGTCCCTCCCTGTACTGTACCTTCTCATGGCTGTTGCCCTCTGGGATTCCCTGTCCTTTCTACACTGCCCAGCTGGCTGACTCCCTCCCTCTGGACCCAGTTCAAGCATCAGCTCTTACTGCTTCTCCCTTCCCAGGCCAAGGTCAGGGGCCTCTCTTCCATGCTCTCCTGCACCTGGGGGGGAAGGTCTTTGCCTGTGTATTTGTAACCGTGAGCTGTGCACTTTACAAAGCAGCTGTGGTCAGCATTAGCAAAATTCCTGGGACACAGCAGGTACTCAAAACATGTGATTAAAGATGAATGAGAAAAATATGTAGTACAACAGGTGTGTGGCATATCTAAGTCAAATAGAAGGAAAAGTGAATTAATGCCCTTCCTTGTTATTTTCAGAAGAATTGATAACTACAGATATGTTTTGCTCTTATTAAAAACCTCTCCCAATCACTGAATTGTCAGTCCTCCCCATATTGGGTAATTTAATTTCTAGACCACCTCAGCATCCTATTTCTCATTCCTGGATAAATAATGCCTTTTGGTGAATGGGACTTTCTCTGATGATTTCATTGTTAAAGTTGTTTTCCATAACACTGAAAACAGTATCTCATTCTTGCTCTGTTGGCACATAAAACCCAGTCCTGATAGAAGCAAGCTCTGTTTTGATGACCAAAATTCCTCATGGAAATTGGCAGAACATCACTGTGACCCACATTTTCCACTGTATTTTTAAGTGTTTTTACTTCCCAACTTAAACACTTCTATGTATATTCAGTTTTCCATTTTTTAATTACACTTGATTTGACTGCAGCCCAGAGTTAACTGTTAGAGGCACTGATGATAACAATAACCTTATGACGTTTCCTTTGCTTTAGGACAAAGTCAAGACAACTGCTCCCAGCTCCAAAGCACCCAAGAATGGGGGTAAAGCAAAGGATTCTGCAAAGGTAAAAAGCACTAAATATACTATATATTAGCTTAGAAATTACATGGAGTGGGATTTATCCTTTTAGTCAATTTAGTTTCTAACTGGAATCTATTTAGAATAAAATAATAGTTTAAGTACTATCTATCCTGTAGCATATCTTGGTAAAGAAGTTGATATTAAAATAGGAACTTACTTTATAAAAGTATGTGGGACTTTAGAAATCTAAATGATCATTTTTAACACAATTCAAGTTTCTTGCATTTCCCCCTTTATCACACAAAGTATGGAAGACCCCACCATAATTGTACAGTTTGTGATACCAGCCATCTGTGCTAGCCGATAATCAGGGTAGGATCCCTCCCCTCCCAAAACCCTCTTTCAGCCACTTCCCACCACTGTCTGCAGATAGCCTTGCCTTCAACTTTAGAGAGAAAAATGAGGCCACCTTGCACAAAATCCCTAAGGTCCCTTTCCACCTACCCAAAGACAAATCCTCTCTCCCGCTTGCCCTGATTTGGCCCTTCTTTCTGAGGGGCCAATAATCACCTCTCTCTAGTATCTTCGACCTTTTAATCTACTTTTCCTTTGTATTGTAAACACATTCCAGGGGCGCCTGGGTGGCGCAGTCGGTTAAGCGTCCGACTTCAGCCAGGTCACATCTCGCGGTCCGTGAGTTCGAGCCCCGCGTCGGGCTCTGGGCTGATGGCTCAGAGCCTGGAGCCTGCTTCCGATTCTGTGTCTCCCTCTCTCTCTGCCCCTCCCCCGTTCATGCTGTGTCTCTCTCTGTCCCAAAAATAAATAAACGTTGAAAAAAAAAAAAAAAAAAAAAAAAAAAACTCAGCTTAAACACATTCCAGTTCGTTTGCCATTTTAAAAGCAATTCTCAAACTTAGAAGCCCTTCTGCCTATAGTCCCATTCCTTCCATCCCTTCACCAACCTTCAAACATCTATAGCAAATATTGGGAAGGGTGAATTTTTTTTACACCTTCTCCTCTCCAAAGACTCATACCACTACTTGAAATTGCCTACTGCACAATTTCTACTTGTGGATAACACATTGGCAAGACAGATTCATATACTGTATTTCACCAAATCTAAATGGCCAGTTATAAACTAAACGATTACTTTATATACCATTAAGAAAAAAAGTCAACAACTTATGATATATGATTCACTATAAAAGTCATAGCAAATTCATGGTGGGGGAGGGGAGGGTAACACCAGGGAATGTGGTTTGTATAAATTTTAGAACACAGAAGCAGTATACAAAATGGGAGAAGACCTTAGGGTTTTTATATCCAGAATTTTCATTAGATGCCACCTGGAGGGAGAACTATTAGTTCTACTTTCTAGAGCAACTTGAAAAATTATGTAGTAAGACTAATGAAGAGAAGTTACAGTGTCCAGAGGCACCTGGCTGCCTCAGTCAGTGAAGCATGTGACTCTTGATCTTGGGTTTGTGAGTTTGAGCTCCACCTTGGATGTAATGATTACTTAAAAATAAAATCTTAAAAAAGTTACAGGGTCCCACTTCTTAGAGCTGGGCATTAATGGAGACAAATGATTGAGATTTTATTATCAAAATTATTCATATTGTGCTCAGAAGGAATGCAAGTTGGATTAGACAATTTCTAGAACTTTTCCCATTCCAAGAACATATGATTTAAGGGTTATTACTGTGATACCCAGACTGTAATGAGAAACTGAAGATACGGCTTTAAAAATAATACTCTAGCCATAGCAAAACTCAAAGAATCAAGATGGTGACCTTGGAAGATCCTGAGCTCACCTTCTCCCACAGACACACCAAATCTATAGCTGCATATGGAACAATGCCCTGTGGAGAGAAAAAAAACAAAACAAAAACCCAAAACTAGCTGGGTGACTCTTACTTACCTAGCAGATGAGAGCAGCCCAAATGGAAGCAATGAGGGGACAGGAACACAATCTCACTGTAAACTCAACTGTAGGCACCATGACCCATAATCAAAAGGGAACTCAAAACCCACAGCTTCTTCCTGAGGAGCAAAGAGTTTAAACCCCATATTTGGCATCCTACCTTTTAAGACCTGCATCAGAGAGAATCCCACAAATATCTAGCTTTGAAAACCAATAGGGCTTGTGTCCACAAAACCCACAAGGCTTTAGTGATCTGAGAACTATTCTTAAAGGGCTTGAGACCACAGACACATCTGCTCCAGAGTCCAACCAATTGAAAAGCACCCAGAATTTCTGTGAAAGGTGTAATGGCTTATGTTATGCATTGGCCTCTGAGGATCAGGCATCTTATTTAACACTCCCCTAGGGGCCTGCTTAAATACTTTCTAGGACAGAGGCTGGTGGACACCATCTTTCCCATCTCCCTCTTCCTCACTTCAGGTCATCAGCATCTCCTGGAAAGCAGTTTAATACACTCATCTGAAAACCCGGTTTTTGTGACTGTCACCCAAGGGACCCCTCTAGATGACTGGGCTCTGGCAGTCAGCAGGACTTAGTTTGTGGTTTCACCAGCCTGTATATGTGTGCATTGTTTAAAGAGTTCTGTGTAAGGAATTGCCTTCTAATCAGCTTCAATCTAGGTGCTGACAGAGATACTCCCTTTTGTGACCTTGACAGATCTTGGCACACCCTCAAATACTAGGAGCCACTAAAAATAAAATTGTCCAAGCAGCCTATCACAGAGGTTTGAGAGACAGCCAAGAGCTACAGCAGGGTTGAACAAAAGGGTTATCTCCTACGTGGGGACATTCCTGCGAGACTAGGAGAGGTGTCTATTTAAGGCATAGAAACCAATACAGAGTTAAGGAAAATGAAGCATAGATGAATAGGTTCCAAATAAAAGATCAAACCTCATGAAAAACAAAAAAAAACACCCTTAACAGAATGGAGCTAAATGATTTACCTGATGAAGCAGTCAACATAATAGTTATTACAAAGATGGTCACAAAATTTGGGAGAGGAGTGGATGAACACAATGAAAACTTAAGAGATGAGAGTAATGACGAAGTACCAAAGAGAAGTCACAGAGCCAAAGAATACAATATGTGAACTGAAAAATTGAACAGTCGGTGAAGCATAAGAAAGGATTAGTGAACATAAAGACATAGCAGTGGAACTCATCCAATCATAACAGTAAAAAGAAAAAAGAATGGAAAAAAAAGTGAAGATAGGTTGAAGGACTTCTAGGACAACATCATATGGGCAAACATTAACAGTATAGGGGTCCCAGGTGAAGAAGAGGTAAAGAAAGGGGCAGCAGACTTCCTTGAAATGATGGCTGAAACCTTCCCTAACCTGGGAAAGGAAACAGAAATTCAGATCCAGGAAGCCCATAAGATCCCCCAAAAAGATGAATCTAAAGACACCTACACCAAGTAACATTGTAATTTAAAAATCCCAAGTTAAAGACGAAAGAATCTTCAACACAGCAAAAGAAAACCAGTGGTCTCTATCAGCAGATTTTCAGCAGAAACTTTGCAGACCTGAGGAAGTAGCAGGACCTGTTCAAAGTGCTGAAATAAAAAAAAAACTTCAATGAAGAATGCTCTACCTAACAAAGCTGTCATTCAGAATAAAAGGAGAGCAAATTTTCCAGATGAGGAAAAGCTAAAGGAGTTCATCAGCACTAAACCAGCCTTACAAGAAATGTGAAAGCAACTTCTTCAAGCTGAAAATAAAGGTTGCTAATTAGTAACAGGAAACTTACGAAAGTACAAATCTCACTGGAAAGGCAAATATATAGTAAAATTTAGAATAATGTTAAAGTGTAAATTCAGCTTATATGTCAATTTATAACCTCAAAAAAAAAAAGTGAAACCCATAAAAGATATAGGAAACCAGACTGATGATTAGCTGCTCATGAACTTACATCTCAAATAGGTTAAATAAGCAAACATATTTAATTTCAGTTATACAAAGTACATGGTCAAAACGAAGTTTAATAACTCCATATTTAGTAGTGCCCCCAATTAAGAGAGAATCAATCACTGTAAAATGAATGAATACCATCCAATAATACCTGTGGTGTTCTTCAATTAACCCTAGCCTTCAAAAAAAAAAAAAAAAATGAGAGTAAAAAATTTAAAATCACCTAAGGTTATTTTTTTTTTAATTTTTTTTTTTTCAACGTTTATTTATTTTTGGGACAGAGAGAGACAGAGCATGAACGGGGGAGGGGCAGAGAGAGAGGGAGACACAGAATCGGAAACAGGCTCCAGGCTCTGAGCCATCAGCCCAGAGCCCGACGCGGGGCTCGAACTCACGGACCGCGAGATCGTGACCTGGCTGAAGTCGGACGCCAACCGACTGCGCCACCCAGGCGCCCCATGGTTATTTTTAGTTTACAAACTTGAAGGTCAACAGTTCATAGTTTGGGCTAAATGAAAAATCCTTAGAAAGGCCCATTTAATTTCCCTCCACTTTGTCATCTTTTGACCCTTTAATTTTGAAAAGCCCATCTACTCATAAGAATCTTATGATTGATCTGCTTTTTGATACTTAATCCAGGAAAGGAGGGGTTCAGTAATGGTTCTGCTTTCCCTTTTAGGCACAGGATGAAACTTCCAAGCTAAAAGCTGATGAAAAAAATACAAGTTAAAGTTCACACTATTTGGTAAGTTCAGGGTTTGTTGTAAATGAAGACAACTGGACCTTGTTACAGACCTGTTTATAGGCAAGGGAAACTAAACCCACTTCTTATTCATGTTCTTTTCATACTATTGGCATAAAATGCACATAGCATTGTCAATAGGTTAATTCACTGAAAAGCAATAAATGGAATAATATGCTCCTGGAATGTTTAAAAACAGTAATCTTATAATTAAGAGCTCTTTAATATATCAGACTAGGCTCTTAAAAATGACCACCTAAGTCTAGTCGACTCTTTGAAACCCAGATGCTTGTGACTGCAGGTTACCCAGTTAGCCTGTTAACATCATACAGTGAAATGTCCTTATGATACTGATATTACCAAAATACCAACACATGGTGAGGGGAACACAAGTACCTCTTATGTCTAGAGGAAACTACAGGGTTTTTTTTGAAACAAAAGCAAAGGAAATGATTGACCACTTTTGTTCATCTTAGTTTTGCAAAAGTCAAGTACTTTATTTAATTCTGATGGTGACTGAAGAACTTGTTTGGATAAGGCAATCAGGAGATGTACCTTGAGAGCCCTTATATTTCTTATATGTTTCCTATATATAAGAATAGGTGTTAATCTAAGCCATTAAAGCTTATGACCACTGGCTGACCAAATCCTAAAGAAAATAAAAATGTAGGTTAGATTGGGTTACTCTCTCTCACCACGGTCTACTTTTGTTTCGGATAACAAGGGTGGTACACTTATTAGAACTGTTCCAAAGATTTTTCCCCAAGTTAAAATTTTCTATTTTCTAAATTCTAGAATTTTCTAAAATCATTCTCATGTTTACTCATAGGAGATTCCTTGTTGCTATCTTTTACATAGCATTATTAGTAAATGTTACATTTACTATGCCTATAACAAGAAAATTATGTATTCACTGGATTTCTTTTCTTTGAATTTTTCAAGGTATCTGCCTATACAATCTTCAGCTGGTGAATGGTGACTTTTGAAGGACAAAAGGCTTTGAACAAAAGAAAATTTTTCTGGGTGGTTTCTAAACAGTGTTATTTGTTGACTCTTGACATCCTAAACATTGGTTATTCTTTTCCCAGAAAGAAAATGAATTTGTCTGGTTCATCTGTGTAACTTACTGAGTATTGATAAACTTTGAATTTTTAAAAATTGCCTTCAGTTGGGAGAGACGGGAACTCTATATTTCTAAGAGATATATTTGATAGTTTCTTAAAACAACATATAAAAGGAAAAACCTTTGCAGACTTTTGCACATTCTACACACAGTGCCTGTAAATCTCATTAGTTTTTTTCCATTTGCACTTACTTTTATTGTTAGCATTTGGAAAACAATGCTTTGAATGTGTTTAATGTTCTGATTTTTCATTACCCATCTCCTCTTGGGCTTTAGAACTGTATTTGATGTTTCTTTGGGTTAATGTTTATAAGTCAAACATAAAATATTGTACAGTGGGCACATATCTCCTCTTGGGCTGCTAATAAATTAATAACCTGGACAGACCAGGACATGCTGCACCCAGTACTCTTTTTTTTTTGCCAGAGGTTAGGACTTCTACACCTTAGAGCCAGCACAAAACATACTAAGACTAGAATCAAGTCAGAAAAGCAAAATGCAGACTATATGTCACCACATAGCAAGCTCCAAAAATAAGAAAATATGATCCTTAGAATATTCATATGCCTTGAACTCACTTGGGTTACTGTGTTAAGCTATGCTTTCCATTTTGCTACATATAAGCAGAGCAGCAATTATCTGCTTAGACCATTGCCACTTTAGTCTGTGCACTGTATACCATCTGGCTTTAAGGAAGGTAGGTGTACCAAAGATAAAAACTTCTTTAAAAAAAAAAAAAGCTATCTGAAATTTAAAAACCTGCTTTTCTCCCACAGCAATTCAAGAACTAGGTTCTGATGTCATACAACTTTGAATGGTTTCTCGGATCTTTTGGAATGAATTGTTTATGAACATAGCACTGATATCCTTGAGGGGATTTTGATAAATAATTTCATCTTTATTTCTTGGTACTGGATGCAGGAAAAGATATCAGGTACATGTCATAAAACTGATTTGGAATTCTTCATTTCAGAAAGCACAGCCTTCCTTAGCATATGTTTTAAGTTCTTATTAGAACTTAGCCGACTTCTCTAAAAATGAGAAATAGCACCAATACAGTCCAGAAAGTGGGGGGAGGAAAAACAACAACAGTACCTATAATGGGGCATAAAATGATATTGCTAACTCTTCCAAAATTCTCATGAAAAGTCATGCACATACATATAGGATATCATGCTTAGCCCCCTTTAAATGCTGCGTATCTATCCCATGAGAGATGCGGGCATTATTCTATTACTCTAAATCTGGGAAATATAAGCCAGTGCTGGGGAGAGTAAACAGACCTTTTCAAAGCACTGACAAGAAAATAATGAACACTGCTCCTGTGGGATTTCAACTGTATTTCTAAGTCTTCTAATTAGGTAGTATAAAGTTTTTCTTTTTTTTTCAAAATGAAATCTTTGACATTGACAGATGTGTTTGCAGGGAAATGGCTGCAGTATTACTAATTTCCCTGCATATACAGAAATATTTTTAAATCCAGAGATTTAAGAAATGCTTGTAAAAGTAAACATTAAAGGTACCCTGAATATGCCTTTTTGTTCATTAGCAATGTCTTCAAGACTTGGGCGTTTACTGGTAATTAATGATGAGACTAAGCTACAGAGTCTGAGTCTTCTTCTACCTAATTAGGAGGAAATGATTGCAAATGTCTGCTTAGAAGTAAATAGAATTTTTATTCCCAAAAAGGTATTTGCACATTGTTGTAGCAATATTGTTATTCAGAAAATGGACTTCTCCAGAAGCAAATTAACATAGGTTCCTCAGGTGACCAAAATGAAAACCACTATTTCCATGTTTCATTAAGTCAAAATACAAAACAATTAAAAGTATTTTACATTAAAATCTTGGCTTTGTATGTCTTTTAGAAGGTTAATACCTGGGGGTGGACATTACCAGTGATTCCTGGTTTTATTTCTCAAACCATTAGACTATGCAATACATATAAAAAGAGAATTGTAAACACATTCATGTCACTCTATTCCACAATATATTAGAACACATTGACATTTTTCATATATTCTTTTAAATTTTATAGTATGTTAAACTCATAAAAACAACTCACTGCCACACTTAAGCTAATATAAATAATTTCAGTTTCACATTATTGGAGACTCTGCCATGACTTAGTGGCAGTGCCAGTAACAAGGTTTTGGGGAATTATAAACTAGGCCAAATATGGAGCAGAGAGAGGAAGCATCACCTACCTAAGTATCAACAGCTCCCAGGTTCAACTTCAAATCAAAGCTTTCTCCTCTAGACCTGAATGTACTCTGCTTTTTTCAGAGGGACACTGTATCACTCAGGGTCCTTGAGGAAATAGACCACACACTCAAATTAGGATTGAGAAGAGTTCTCTAAAAAGGTTTGTTTTTTAAACAAAGGTATGGGGATGGGTGTAAGGAACCCACAAGTACTGCTAGGACTATGAAAAGCCAGACTCCCACTTCACCCTCCCCTCATCCTGGAGGGATGAGAGGAGGAATGGTTACTAGAAGGCAGAGGTGGAGAAGGCTGGGTAAAAAGAGGGCCGCTTCTCAGGAGCCAAGCTTTGGTGGAGGCCACCCGAGGCAACCTGCAAGGGCACCAGGGAAATACAACACCCCCATCTATTCTCCCCTACCCCAGCTCCCATCTGCCCTCCTGGGAGACTGACAGAAGTCAGCAAACAAGCCTGATGACATGTGCCTACATGTCAGCCCCTGGACATGTGGCAGGGAAGGGAAAGGTGGAACATGCTTAGTCACTGATCCAAGGGTTCACTGTTCAGCAGTCCTCACTATGCACAGGTCTTTAAAGGAGAGTGACAAATCAGCTTATGGATGACACACACATGGGGAGCAGGGGTTTGGAAAGCACAAGGCTTAAGTATAGGACATAAAACGGTAGAAATAAGCTACTCCTCTACAGTAGGGAACCCACTGCTTGCGTTTAGATTGCAGGGTGACACCTGTCAATAAAATACATTGTGGCAGTAACCCATCGATGAACAATTTAGTAGCCCGTTTTGTCACAGGAATAGTCAAATGAGTACGAAGGAAATGGAAAAATATCTTCAGCAGAAGCCAAAAGAGCCATCTCTGGTTTGAAAATAATCACATCTGACAAAATTTTAGCATAATGTTACCACAGGAACCACCAAGGAACAAACTGTTAGAGCAGTGCAAGCTTCTCGCTTTGGAGCCACACTCTGATTTTATCAAAATTCTTATCCATCCAACGAATGTTTTCCTCAATGGTTTCAATTGTTTGCTGGACACAACGGAGCTGAGAACTGTTTTCTTTCAAGGAGCTGAAGAATCCTTTTACCTTGTAAGGAAAAAGCAAATTTTAAAAATCTGTTTTATTGTATTACATAAATAAACTTTCAGGCTAGTTAAAACAAGCCAAAATTGCAGCATTTGCCCAAATTATACATAGAAGGCAGTGCCCCGTGTCTGGGTAGAATTGTGTACACAGAAATTTAAGCTCTACGAAATGAGCTCATGCATCATGATGTCAAATTCTGCATTTTTCTCTGCAGTTTTATTTATTCCCAGTTGCCAGATTCTAAAAGACTTCACTGTATACTGTTTTATAATTAAGGTTTGAGTGTGTTTATTTAATATATATTGTTATATACACACCAATGCAAGCTTAGTTTTTGTTTTTTGTTTTTTTTTAACATATCTAAAAAGCTAAATGTGCAGAGTATCTTCTTTGCCAAGGAAAACAATTTGAACCCCACAAGTACAGTCTTTCTCCTTGGGCCTGGCCTTGTAGGTCATTACAGAAACAAGAAGGTTATGGTGGAAATCTCCCAAACCGCCAAATTTTTTACACTAATCCGCAATTCATGTATTGTTCCTCCAAGATAAAATCCACACAAAGTTGTCCATGGTTTTAAACAGATAAGACACTGCTGTCTCCTCAAAAATACCTTCCCTGTTTCATGGCTGGGTATCGACTCCTTTAAGCTCACATGAGGAACAGTGTGGCTTTGCAACAGCATTGACTATTGCAGTACTCTCTTTCACCTTTAAAAGGTTCTTAACATTGTCCTTTATGTTTTCACAGCATTAATCTGTAAGTTTTTGACTCTGTAGACAGGAGGTAAGTCTAGGTCAAGATGCAGTATTTATTCAGCATGGATTCCAGACAGTTATTTTCTTAAAAATCCATGTTGTAGGGGCGTCTGGGTGGCAGTTGGTTGAGTATCCAACTTCCTCTCAGGTCATGATTTTATGGTTCCTGGGTTTGAGTCCCATATGGGACTTGCTGCTGTCAGTGCAGAGCCTGCTTCAGATCCTCTGCCCCCCTTTCTATGCCCCTCCTCTGCTCACGCTCTGACTGAGATGTCTCTCTCAAAAATAAACATTTAAAAAAAATCTGTGTTGTAATATCGTATTATAAATTTGGGAATAAGAATAGGCTTTTGAGAGATCAAATTCCAATATTAAATGATTCAGGTTTGTTTTAAAATTGGTACCTCAATACAACTTTTCAATGAGCTGAAGGCCTGCCCTCTGCTGTAGCAACCTAGAAAACACTTAGCATGCCTCATGGGCCTGCATTCAGTTGGAGCTCAGCCTACTGTTACATCCTTTCAGAACTCAAGATTCATACTCAGTTAAAAGAATGACTCCAGGCACTTTAGAACAGTCCTATCACATCATTAATTTTACTAATTAATTATTTAATATGTTATTTAACTATTTTCAAATTATTTAAAATAATCCTGAAAGAGCCCTTCATGATAGTACCACTAAGAAAAACAAAACAAAAAACTGTAAGACCTGTAAACGAAGCCAGCTGCTAACCCTTGCCCTTCAACTCTTTTGACCCAAAATTCTCTCTCCTATCTTCATCTACCTTGAGAAATCCATCCTCTCAACTGAGCATTTGATTCAAACCTGCCTCCTTGAGAACATGTTCTGTGCAATAAGTGGTGTGATATAGAGACAGAAAGAAACAGTTTTATCCTACTAACTTGTTTGATCCTTAGTAAACAACTTAACTTGTCTGGGACTCAGTTTTCACTTTGGTAGCAAGAGGATGCTCTTTGCCTTGCAAAGCACGGGTGAGGATGTAGTTATATAATGTGAGTAAAGTGCAGACCCTAAAACCCAGCTTGTATCAGGGACTCATCCTCATCCCTTTTTTCATGACTGTTTGGCACTTATTCATCCCTCTGGCTGAATTCCTGTGTTAGACACTGAGGAGGAGGTAATGAACCAGGCAAGCAGCCTGTCCTCTGGGAGCTTACACTCTGGCTGGGAAAACAACAAGCGGTAAACTATGATTACTTTAAATATACCACCGTGGACAAAACACACTGAGGCTACGACAGTAACTGGGGAAGGGGGTGGCCTGCTTTAGACAGAGTAGTCTGGGAAGGTGACATGTGATCTGAGACCTCTACAGGATAAAATGAGCCTTTCCACTGGTTCCTTTATCCAAGTTAGGGAAAGAGCAAGCCAGGCAGAGGTAAGAAGTTTAGAGGCTTGGGGCACCTGGGTGGCTCAGTTAAGTGTCCAACTTCCGCTCAGGTCTTGATCTCATGGTTCATGAGTTCAAGCCCCATGTCGGGCTTCAGATTCTCTGTCTCCCTCTCTCTGCCCCTCCCCTGCTCTCTTGCTTTCTCTCAAAATTAAATAAACATTGAAAAAGAAAGAAGTTTAGAGGCTTAGAGACAAAATAAACACCTGGTAGCCCTGGAACAGGAAGTGGCTGAGTGACTCAAGTGTTGTATGAGGGTGACACAGAAAAGCATGTGAAAATGGGCTGGAGAGGTGGGCAAGAGCCCAGTCATCATGGTCTTGTGCACATTCAAAGGAAAGTCTTGGGATTTATTCCAAGCTGAATAGGTAAGAGTTCATGGAGGAGTCAGTCATGGGTTGATTTTCAGTATTAAATGTGCAAAATGACTTGGTATTGGCAAATTGGGAAGACACGCAGGAGGCTATAGCCATAGGCCAGGCCAGAGATGAGAAAGGCTTGGGGTGGAGTAAAAGCAGACAAGTGCACAGATACAATGTATATGCTGAAAGCCGAGCCAACAAGACTCAGGGAGGAGTTGGATGTCAGGACCGAGAAGGGCTCAAACTAACTCCCACATTTTACCTGTCAGTAAGACACTCTCCCTTCTGATGACATCCAAGATGTCATTTCCATGCTCTACCTCAGGGCCTTTGCACCTGATGTTTCTTTTGCACACGACAACTGCATTTCCTTCAGTTTCTGCTCAAAGGTCTCCTAATTATTCCATAGAACAAAGCTCCATCCCGTACCCACTCTCTCCTTACCTTGCCTTATTCATCTTAAGAGCATGTAACCACCTGACGTAGGTTGATCTGTCCGTAACTGATTCCCCAGTAGAATTTAAGCTCTATGAGGGCCAAGACTTTGTCTACTCTGTTCGTCATCATAGCCCCAGAAACTAAAACCATGTTTGCCTTATAATAAAAATGTAATGTCTTTAAAGAAATAATGAGAAAAGACTTGAATAAGCAAGTAAATGAATGAAATGTTTTGTTGCTATAGATCTGGTCTAGGGACAGCTGTCTTGCTACTAACAGCCCCTGACTGGTCTTCAGTCATCACATAGAGTAGCTCTGCTGTAGACCTCACTAGAGTTCAACCCTGAATTGTGTGCAATTTTACAAGCCTGCATGAAACTACTGAAAACTAGAGAAAATCAGGGATACAACAGTTCTTTTGATTTTCAAAGCATTCTCCCTGTATCAAGCTGTATCATGGTGTAACCAGACTATACAATGGAAGTATTCCTAAAAAAAAAAATAGTATTAGGCTCTCAGACTTTATGTAAAGGCAACATATTTTTAAAGCCATGTAAAATTTGTTCTACACCTTTAGAAAACATTATTAGAGAAGGAACACCACACAACAATGACCTAGACATCCACTTCCTCAAAGTTTAAGGCCAGAAGAAAAGTTTGCTTTGGTGGAAAACTTTTACATTTCAGGTTCTCTCTTACCAGACAATAGGAGTAACTCCTATGGTTTTCTCATTTTTTGTCTTGACTGCTACGAAGTGGTGATACATTTACAGTTGCAATAAATTATCCTCAGCATAAATCCCTCATACAGTTACCTCTTTCTGTCAATCATGCAGCTTTCTGGTATTTAACATTTCTGTTATATATGGACATTACAAGTTGCCTAAAATTCTTTCTGCAAGTACATGGCATATAAATAAGTAAGAAAATCATGAATCTAGATAGTGGAGAACCAAGATTCCAGATTTCCTAACAGCTAGATGATCACATAGGGCATTTATATCTCTAATGATCACTTTTAACATCTCAATAAACAGAGATTAAATGCTTCCAGTAATTTTTAAGCCCTAAAAATTTTAATGGCAGAGCTAAGACTTCTTAACATGTTGACAAAGAGGCACAGTTTTCAATAATTTATTGTAACTGATTTTGGTTGGTGTCCAAAACACCACAGCATCTGAAAAGAACATCTACTAAGTGACAAAATCCATTCCTAACTCCTCATACCCTTTTGTCTACCCCATATTTATTAGCTAATTGTCACTTAAATTTAAAAGTTTTGTTTACCTCCTCAAGCCGTGCTCTTGTGGAGAACTGATTTGTTGTTCCTATTACCATATTTGTTAAAGAAGATGAGCCAAGTTCAAACCTGCAAATTGAAGTTGTCAAGATGTATCATAAAGTATTTATTCACTTAACATGTTTTTAAGTGCCGTATAAATTTTACAGGAATTAACTAAAAACTGGTTAGGCAGGAAAAAAATCTATGACATGATCCGCATCCTCCAATGTGTTAACATACCATTGTAAAATATAAATACACCAGCAGCTGAATAAAAGATGCAGTACCCTAAAGAAAGTGCTAGAGGCTTAGTAAGTGCTATGAGAGCTAGGCAAGTGCAGGTGCAAACAAGCAGAAGTGTTAAAGCAAGACGTGGGTTGAACTGTGCAGAGGAAGGCTAATTGGTCAGCAGATGCAGAAAGGGATTGGAATGGAAAACTGAACTACCCAGATTCATTAGTTAGCACTAAATTCTGAGTTTTATATTTTCTAAGAATATTTTTAAAGTATCTCTATGTGCTATCTGCAATAAAAAAAAAAACACAAACAAACAAACAAAATCCCTTTAGACCACCACTGTTGTTTTACAAACAAAGCTAAAACACAGCCAGGTTAATGGACTTTTTTAGTCACGGCACAATTTTTGGCACTACTTACTTTTGTATAAGTTTATCCCAATTTTCCCTCAGAAACTGCCAGGCCAATGGATATCCCACCGGGTTCCTGCCAACAGCTCTAAGGATACGTGGAAACTCTTGAATTTTTATTTTATCTCCCTTAAAACTTTCATCTAGTAGCCTAAAATGAATAAGAGAAGAAATGGTAACAACAAATAGTCCTTGGAAAAGTTGTAAGTCATTTCAATAAAATAATGCATGAAAGAAAAAAAGCCAATCCGTCAATAATAAAGACCAAATAGGTAACTAGAGTGCTAATAAACCTGCTAGATGTACATAATAAAAATTCACACTTATATAGTGTTCACAACACCCATTCTCATATAATCACATTTGTTCATAAGAGAAAATAAATAAGAAAGTTTTATCTAAAGGTATGTATTTCTAAACATGTTCTTTTAAAAACATACAAATATATATTCCTTTAAATATTTTTCCTAATACCTGCTTCTCACTAATTAACTACCATACTCATTAGATGTGTGCCCACTTAACTGTTCCCAGCAGAATAGGCAATTCCTGGCCAAGAGAACAAAAACAACGTCAGAAGCATCTGATGTCATTTAATTCCTCATGGCCATGTAAACACGAATGAATTACTCACCACTGAAGCTTTCCCTCATTTTGGCTAATACTGAGGGCAAATTCAATTTCGTTTTTCTCGGTACTGGACAAAGATGACTGATATTTACTATAAAGAAAATCCCATCCTTCAGGGTTCTGGACCCCCACAGCGAACACCGCCAAGGTTACATCACTGGGCAGACTGCGGAAAAGAACATACCTAGTGAGAGTCTGAGATGTAGGAAGTGTGTTTGAATGTATAATGGTGACCAATTACAAGCTGATAAAATGGCCTGGTGATCAGAGAAATGTGCCTGGAAATGTCAACAAAAATAACCTCTTTCCTTCAGTTAGATTTTAAGAAAGAAGTACAAGAAAGCATCTAAAATTCAATTTTAAGTCCCGTTCTCAAAAACATTATGTGAAATTCCACTTTGATAAATACCAACATATCTAACATATGTTAATGATGCTGGCAACTCGACGGGTGGTCACTTTTTAAACCAAAAGAAAGAAATGCAAACTAGACTCAAGAAGTAATCCATGAACAAAGGTCAGGAATCCAACGGGAGGACTGTTTGGAAGCATTTCTTTAAATGGAAGCATGTATACTTTTTGTTTGCTTAATATTTCCTGGAGACATTTAAGCCCCAAATATAACAGTCCTTAAGTACATCAAGAATCAATTCCAAATACAGGAAGATCCTACTTTGCTTAGACAGTGTCAGCAAGTATTTATACACACCCCATCAGGGACTTTGGAGGCCCAAAGGAGCTACCTCTATGGCAGGCACTGCCTCTGTTCCTATCCAGGATAGCTGTTTTCGTTCTGACCCTTGCCTCTATTAAATTGGAATTATTCTAATCCTATTTTAACTCTGCAAATATTTGATATATATATTTATATTTATCTGCAAAGATTTGATATATTTATATTTATATATATAAATTCCTAGTATTTCTTAAAAGAAAGTTGAGAGATACATAGATAAATCTTAAAAAATAATTTATTTTCTCAAAAAGTACAGCAGAGGAGACTTATGTATACTTTTTTTTTCCTCCCAACATTTAGCACCAATGATGAAAAACAGAAAAGATACCCTTCATATGAACAAATGGGTTGTTCTGTAAACACAGACCTCAAATTTCCACCAGCTTCCTTCCACTCTCTGAAATAGGCTTCTGCCCTCTGTACACAGGGCTGATACTTGCACATGCAGGCAAGGAGGAGGAGCTGGCTCCGCAGCATTCGCTGTGAGACTGAGCCCTCATCTGTCCACGTCTGATTATCAATGAGGTCCCTCAGCAGCCTGATGAGAAAGGCCTGCGAGAAAGCCACATGTGTCACCACAATGGTCCCAGGCCATCTCATGTTTTATACAAACCAACACACCCTCGGGATATGGGGATTAATTTTTAAAGCTTAATCCAACTCTTATTTTTAAAATCATGTAATTCTGTTTATATTTAATTATAAAAGGGTCAAAAACAAGAAAAAATGATTTTACTATTTCCATAACATTTGTAAGTATACCTTCATCTATTTAAAAATCAGGATGAACTGCCATTTTTGAAACAAACTAAGAGAGTTGATAGCACTAAATTTTGAGAGCAAATTATACAAAAGGACTTCATGACATTTTGCCAAAAATAATGCTTTTGTGCCTCTTCCTCAAGTACCGGACTCAGCATATCTTAATAGTAACCATCAAAATGCAGTAGTAAAATGAAATAAGTATTTGCAAAAAGAAAGGAGTAACAAATCCATAAAAATTGAGTACAGATTCTTACCACCGTCTGTGCCAGTAAGACCCAAATCTTTGCTAGTTAGTCTAAACACTGAGTTAATTTTGATTTACTTTTCCTTAATATATGTGAGGACATACATATATGAACAATGGTAAGGATGCTTTCCTACACCCACACAAAAGCAAATCAGTTATGTAACTATTCAATTTATTTAAGGCTTCTACCTTGAACTGATTTTCCACTTCCTTCATATCTCTTTTCTCCATCAGTTTATACATAGGTATCAGCTCATTCAAACTTTGGAACACGGGCATAATTTCAGTTTCATGCTTCAAGTATAGGGTTAAATCCAAGGCTTTTTCAATTGATAGCTTTCCATTGCTGGTCAAGAGACACCATGGTTAGCAGTTTAAAAAAAAAATGCAGGAAATCAATTTTTTGTTTCAAAAGATATTTTCATCTCCCAGCCAAACATTAGTCAGATATTAATGCCCCCTTAATAATAGTGACCTTTATATAAGTATCTTTTCTTTCACATATAACACTAGCTTATTTACCATTGTGGAGGAAGTTTCTCGAATAACAGGGCCAGGGCTAACTTGTGGTTAAGAAAAAATGGAGACAGGTCAGCATCTCTCCCTCTGTGAAACTGTGGATTGTGTGTTCAACTTCCAGAGTAAGATGTCAGTTTTCATCAAAATCAGTAATCTTGGTTGCAGAGATTGCCACTCAGTCAAAAGTCTGAGTGTCTGGATTGAACACATTCTTATCTCCATTTCAAAAAGAAACTGAATATAGATGTAAACCCTTCATTATGGAGGCCAGGGGTTAAAAGTCTCAGTGGCAGGGTATATGCTTAGGTAAGTAAACACAAAACCCTCTAAGAATTAAGCAATAATGTTATAGAGGGAAATGGTCTCAGTAACGCAGAAACCGCTAGATAAACAACTTCTGTCCTTATCGTCATTGCTTTTTGCCACCTTGAGAAGTCAGAAATGAAGAACTCAACATTTAGAGCAAAGGTACATGGGAAATGAGAACTATAGAATCATTCCTTCCCACATGGGTGACTCCCCTTAGGACTTCAGTTCTGCCTAAATATTGGAGAAGTTTGAGTTTCAGGTTAAGGAATCATTTCCTTTTTTTTTTTTTTTTTAAGTTTATTTATTTTTAAGTATTTATTTTGAGATAGGGAGAGGGAGAGAGGGAGAGAGGGAATCCTAAGGAGGCTCCTCACTGTCAGCACAGAGCCCAACAAAGGACTCAATCTCACAAAATGAACCATGAGATCATGACCTGAGCCAAAATCCAAGAGTTGGGCACTTAACTGACTGAGCACCTAGGAACCATTTCCTTAAAAGCCATTGTCATAAGGCAAAAAATTAGAGTGAACACTGTCCTTAACAACTCAAAGATCATTTGGTTAGTCCACATTTTATGAGCATGTTCCATACAGCTGCTGTGAAGTTCAGGTATCCAGTTTGAGGAGTTGGGGGGAGAAATTTTTTAATAAAAGAGTCACAATGCAAAAACTTGGTACTGAGCCACTTGGTCTTCTAAGGTTTCCAGAATGTGAAGGACCCAGCAGGGCAGAAACCTCCTGTATTATAGCAGGGCCAGAAAAGCTGCAGGACAAAGGGCTTCTCCAGAATGCTGATCTCCTGATTTTCTACACCCTTTTGCATCAGTCTGAGTTGTTAATGAAAAACATCAGGGGCGCCAGGGTGGCTCTGTCAGCTAAGTGTCTGACTTCAGCTCAGGTCACGATCTCGCAGTTCATGAGTTCAAGCCCCATGTCGGGCTCTGTGCTGACACCTTGGAGCCTGGAGTCTGCTTCGGATTCGGTGTCTCCCTCTCTGTGCCCTTCCCCTGCTCACATTCTGCCTCTCTCATGGTCTCTCAAAAATAAAATAAAAACATTAAAAAAAAAAAAGATTAAAATACAGATCACTTCCTTTACCTTACTCTGCAAACACAGACACATGGCTAACCATGAGACTAAAAGCAACCTTGGATTGTAAGAAGAACTTAGGAGAAGACACCTTTCAACTTCTAATTAGCAAGTAATCATTTTCATCTTCAGAAATCAAGCATTCAAATGCTAACAGCTGCTTTCAGAAATAAACCAAGACCCTGAGGAGTTTGTATTACCTGACAAGCTGAAATGCATTGTTAATGAGACTGGCCCGATCATTGCTGCTGATTGTTGTATGTGCTCCTCTTAAAAGACCACTCAAAGAATTCCATCCATCATCCTCATAATGCACAATGTAATAGCCATTCATTCCAACATTAAATTTGATCCATTCTACCTCTTCTGGGAGAATGAGCACATCTAGAGCAAATAAAATAAATCATAGTTCCATTTTCTCTCTTCACTGATGAAAGCTTTTCTGATCAGAGACTGGACAAAGAAACTAAAGGGAAGTTTAATGTTGAACAATTTTAATACTGAAATGAGTTTCATATTGAACACATTTATTTTAGAAACCATAAAAGCCCATTCCAATAGGTAAAAGCCAATACTAGCTTGAGACACCAATTTTTTCAGATTTACAGATCTAGGGGAAGAATACAGCCACATTTCAGGTTATACATGCAAAATAATCCAGCAATGTTAACAAAATAATAGGGAATTTTCACTAGTAAGCCCTCCTATTTAGCATTATATAATTCAACTGTTTTAATCTTGGTCTGGCAAGATTACTGGCTTTTTGACACAAGAGAATATTTTCAACCTTCTATCTTCACTAAAATTGAAAGCCAAAGATTTGCTTTCAATAAAGGTTATTGAATATATTGAATAAAGGTTGACCTGGTCTTTAGGTTTTAACCAAGATAAATAGTACAACAAACTGAGTACCTAAGTCTTACACATTTCCAGTTTCTTAACTTATCCTGGTTATTTCTACAAGAAGTTACCTGTTTTTGTCTTCAGCAAAAATCTTTGGACTGAATCTGATTTGCTCGTAATGAATGTCAATGGAACATGCCACAGGTACCTTCAAGAAAGGATGCATTATTTGTTGACTTACTTCAACAGTTATTAAATCATCTATCATATGCCAGACACTGGCTAGTTTAAAAGATGGTACCGAAACTATTACAGCCAAGAGGTCAAAACAACACCAGCCTGTTTTCCTGCCTTGCAAGGGGTGCCAGCTTAGGCAATGTTCATTCTTCTTGGACTTCTCAGTATAGCTAGGAATTTGAGCTCCAGGGAGCCCTGGCATCCTTTGCAGTGGTTGGCTGATTGGAACTCAGAGGTCCTACCTTAAAAACCCTGACCACTATTAATGGAATAAATTGCCATCATGTGGCCCCTAAATAATCTGTTAAGAATACAACATCACTTCTGTAAAATTCCTGCCAATGATGCACAACCTGAATCTCATCATGAAAAACAGCAGAAAATAAAAAATGGAGGACATTCTATTAAGAAAAGTGGCCTGTACTCTTCAAAAATGCCAAGGTCAAGAAAGAAAAAAGTTGAGGAACTGTTTAAGGAAGCAAAGAAAAAAAAAAAAACACACAAAACTGAACATGGGTGACAATACAATGTGATCCTATATTAAATCCTGAATGAGAATTTTTTTCTTTTGCTATATAGTATTATGACAACTGGAAAACTGAAATCAACTTTACTGATAAAAGGATTATATCAACTTCATTTCATAAGTTTGATAATTATACTGTGCTTACACAAGTCAACATTCTTGTTTTTATGAAAATATCACACTGAACTATTTCAGGGTACAACTACCTTCAGCTAAGAAAAAATACAAGCTCCTCTGGATCCAGGAGGGCAGCATAGGAAGACACCAAACTCACTTCCTCCTGTGAATACACCAAATCTATACCTACATATGGAGGGCACCTGTTGGGATGAGCACTGATGTTGTATGGAAACCAATTTGACAATAAATTTCATATTAAAAAAAAACTATGCCTACATATAGAACAACTCCTCCTGAAAAAGAACGGAGGGCTGCCTGAATAGCTTCTGCACAACAAATGACAGAGGGACCACACAAAGAAGGCAGAGACAGAGACAAGATAATAAAAGGAACCCCAACCTAACACAGTGAGGGAAGGATATTACCAGAGGCTCCACAGGCAGACTTGCCTGCCCTTGGAAATGACAAATAGAAATCTACAGGACAACTAGATTATAAGTGAAGAAAATCCAGTGACTAATTCTAGAGAATCTACCAAAGAGTGGGGAAATTTCTAGAACTCTCTGCAGTCATAGGCTCTGGTGAGCATCACTGTTTATATTCCCCCTAAACCATGATATTGTGGACAGGAGCTGGGTTCAGTCACTATAGCCAGCTGGCTAGAGACACCCCAGCAAGTCTAAGGACCCTAGCCCACACCAGCTCCAGATGTCCTGCTAGGGTGGCCCCAGAACGGTACCCTGGGACCCTCCTGGCTTATGCCCACTCTAGCCCCAGCCATCTTGCCACTGGCAGCCTTAGGGCAGGGTAGCCTAGGACCCTGTTCCCACTCCAGGTCTAGACATTCCACCAGGGCTGCATCCCCTCCAACTCCAGCTGTTTCCAGGGTGGCCCAGGGAAAGAATGCTCCAGAACCTCAAGCCCATGCACACTCCAGCTCCAGCTATTCCACCAGGGCAGCCACAGCACAGAATGTTTGGGAACTCTGGGCCCATTCCCAATCCAGCTCCAGCCATCCCACCAAGACAACCTTGGTGCAATTTGCCCTAGGACACTCCCCGCCATCCCACTTCAGCTTCCGCTGGACAGCCAAAACCACTAGGCACACACAATCTACACAGGGGATGCTCCCGTGTAAGGCCAGTCCATTAAAGACCAGGAGAAGTAGCTCTGCCACCTAACTCATAGAAATATACATATGAAATGAAACAAACTAAAGAAACAGAGGATTAAAATTCCAACAAAAGATAATGAGAAAATTCCAGAAAAAAACTCTAATGAAATACAGGTAAATAATTTACCTGATAAAGAGTTCAAAGTAATGGTCATAGAGAGGTTCACTGAACTAAGGAGAAGAATGGAAGAACACAGTGAGAACTTCAATAAATATTCAGAAAATGTAAGCAAGTACCAGATAGAAGTCACAGAGCTGAATAACAACTTAAATGAAAAATACAATAGAAACAATCAGGAGCAGATTAGACGATACAGAGCAGATCAATAATCTGGAAAAGAGAATAGTGGAAATCACCCAATCAGAATAGCAAAAAGAAAAAATAATTAAAAATGAGGATAGGATATAAGGGACCTGTGGTGCAACATCAACTGACAAACATTCACATTATAGTGGTCCCAGAAGGAGAAGAGGGAAAGAAAGGAGCAGAAAACGTATTTAAACAAATAATGGTTAAAACTTCACAATGCTGAGGAAGGAAATAAACATCTAGGTCCAAAAAGCACAGAAACTGCCAAACAAGATGAATCCAAAGAGATTCACACCAAGACATACTATAATTACAATGTTAACAGTTAAAGAGAAAATATTAAAGGCAGCAATATAAAAACAAAATGTCACAAAGAAGGGAAACCCATAAGACTATCAGCTGATTTTTCAGCACAAACTTTGCAGACCAGAAGGGAGTGACAGAATATATTTAAAGTGCTGAAAGGGAAAAACTTAAAGCCAAAATAACCCACCAAGCAAGGTTAATATTCAGAAAAGAAAGAGAGAGAGAATTTCTAGCACAAGCAAAAGATAAAGGAGTTTATGACGACTATCCAACATTATAAGAAATGTTAAGGAATCTTCTTTAAGAAAAAAACAAAAGGCCATAATTAGAAGAAAAAGAGAACTACAAGCCAATCTCTCTAATGAATATAAATGCAAATATCCTCAATAAAATATTAGCAAACCTAATCCAACAATACATTTTAAAAAAATCATATACCACCATCAAGCCAGATTTATTCCCAGGATGCAAAGGTGGTTCAATATTCACACACTCACACAAAAATTAACATATGTCAGAGGAGAGGGAAGATGGCGGCGTAGGAGGACGCTGGGCTCACCGCGCGTCCTGCTGATCACTTAGATTCCACCTACACCTGCCTAAATAACCCAGAAAACCACCAGAGGATTAGCAGAACGGAGTCGCCGGAGCCAAGCGCAGACGAGAGGCCCACGGAAGAGGGTAGGAAGGGCGGTGAGGCGGTGCGCGCTCCACGGACTGGCGGGAGGGAGCTGGGGCGGAGGGGCGGCTCGCCGGCCAAGCAGAGCCCCCGAGTCTGGCTTGCAAAAAGCGGAGGGGCCTGACGGACTGTGTTCCGACAGCAAGCGCGACTTAGCGTCTGGGAGGTCATAAGTTAACAGCTCTGCTCAGAAAGCGGGAAGGCTGGAGGACAAAGGGAAGGAGAGCTGCTGAGCCCCCGGACGACAGAGCTCAGTTTGGTGGGGAACAAAGGCGCT